ATATTAATTGTATGTCGTACAGGTACATACAGAAAGGATAAAAAAATTATCTGCAAAAAATCTATTTGGATTGGTGTGTCAGACCTATCAGGTGAGGAATGAAAATGTCTAATAGGGACATTGTATTTTCATATACAACTGGCGACAGTTTTATCTTTGATGTGAATAGAAGTTATATCTCATATCAACCTGTCATGACGTCATCATAGGTTGATATTTTCGGTTCATAATCATATCAACCTGATATGATGTTGATGATCGAAATAATTTTTTATTCTTTTGACCATTAAAGGGGCTTTATGGGAGATTGATCCACTATGAGGGGCCACAGTGGCTAAGACGCTGGCTCGCCAGCCCGGAGGTCGTTCGGATGTTGGCAGTTGGAATTCGATATAAGAGTAGACCGTAGCGCCGCTTCCCGGGCAAAATTTCCCTCATAGCACACTGTATGGCGTATGCCTGTGTTCATTAGCCAAGTTCGGAACAGAACAGTAGGACGTTAAACCCCATTTCATTTCATTTGATCTTCTCAACCGAGTCCTGGATCTGACTACTATGGTTCTGTAGAAAAGTTTGAGTTGGGATAAAAAAAAATTGTATAATGTTTAGTAGGTGTCTTAGTCAGTATTTTGGACTTGGGTGGATACTCACCACGTGGTAGGTTAATCCCCAAATGACGTCATCAAAGATGGCCACCGACGTTATTTCAATTTTACTATACGTCCACATTCATAATGCCGACGTATTTTATGCCGTAGCCCCTGTGTGTGTGTGTGGAGGGGGCGGGGCGGGAGGTGGGTGTCTGTAGGTCGCCTACAGGCCGTAATTCTTAACAGATGCTTTTGAAACTTTGCATAGTTATTCCTTATACCCTAAAGATGGCCCCTATTCAGTCATATTCTTGAATCTTTACATACTTATTCCTTATACCCTAAGGATGATCCCTATTGTTTTTTGTCCGACCCCCAGGGGCAAAGCCACGCCCATTTTTTGTATTTGTTTGTCTTCTACAGGCCGCATTTCTTAACGTATCATCTTGAAACTTTGCATACTTATTCTTTGTACCCTAAGGAAACATACCACTGCAAGAAGGTGTAGAGCTTGCAAATTCTCTAATGTTCTAATTGGTTCAAGCATGAGTTCTAATTTCTGTCTGAAATCATTGTCTTCATAAAATATTTTTCAGGGAACCAAACCAGAAGCTTGTAAGCTGAAACCTATAGGTGTTTAGAGAAGATAGTTTTATTAAAACTTGTATCTCTATTTGTTTTGTTTCATTTCCTGGTTCGTAGGCTTGCTGATCTGCATACCATAAATCTGTCATTTATCATCTATGCAAACGCCAGATCTTTGTTGGATTTATACAGAGAGAGAGAGAGAGAGAGAGAGAGAGAGAGAGAGAGAGATGGGTTTTAATGGCCACTCGACACTAGCTAGTACAGGCGACCCAACTCCTTGTCACGTACAAGGTGGGGTGGGGGTGGAAACACGCCACCTGACCCAATGACAACCCTCATGATTTAAAGTGTAAATGTAATTCGTCGACCAACCTCAGATGTTGCCAAAAATACTGCTTAAGAAGACACCTGGCCCTTGCTACGATAGCTGAGTAATACAGGTTTCCTGAATCGGAAGTGACGAACGCCAAAGGAAAACACGAGTCGTCTCTCTATATAACTGACTGATGTGACGAGTGATAACGGATATACGGGCGAATTTCTGCTCACATTCCTTCGAAGACCAAAAGTTGTTATATGGGACTGTTATATGTTGCCGCTGAATGGTTAAAGACTCGTATTACAGGTGTATCATTTTTTGGTTTATCAAGTTTTGGAAGGTTGGATAATGTGGCGTTGATGAACTTGTTTACCATAATAACCGTTGTGTTAGATGGAGACGTCTTTTAGGTGTTGTACTTCCAGGTTGAGGGATTCGGGGTTACAAATGCTTTTGGCTCTATTAGTTAAACATACATTATGCAAGAGCTAAATCTGCCTATTGCTGTTCTTTCTTTAAGCCTGAAATATTATCTAAATTATTAATTAGACATTAATTAACTTATCCAGACCATAATCAACTCTCGATGTCATCGCTAGCCTGCGATGTTTATTGGATTAGGTTCCGATTTGCTGTTCGACTTCCAATCATGATTTAATCATAAAATGGATAATCGAGACTATGTTTTTTATCGTACCGACTTTAGTAATAATGATCGGGGCTAGGCCTAAAATTCAATCGCTAAAATCTCAGTTCAGAGTGGATCAATTTGACTCAAATTGTCAGTAAATTCCCTTTACACTATCTAGTTTTTAGCTATTATAGTCCGATTTATCTAATCTCCCATAATGTACCATAATGCGTTTTATGCATTTGGGTGATTAGATTTGTAGTAGATGTTCTGGTCCATGTGTGTTGGTTTCCTGTAAACTGAGGTTGTGACATTGGAGTTCGCTCTTCTTACCATTAGGGCCTACATTAGGCCTAAGAAATGGGAGGCTGCTGTTGGTTTCATTCTCCATTGTGAACTTCATTCTTGGATGTTGGTTAATTTTGTTCAAGTGATTCAGGGGGACGACAGTATCATCTTCTTTTTGTAACATGACGAAGGTGTTATCCATCTTTCTGAACCAGAAAAAAGGTTGAAAAAGAGCGGTTAAAGTAACTTCTTCTGGTGACATCATGTAGATTTCGGAAATGAGCGGGGATAAATGACTTTCCATATAGGTAAACCATTGATCTGTGAAATAATATGTGGATTTCAGGCATTGCTTGATCAAAGAAATAATGATAGAAAGTTGTCGAAAACGGGTTTCAAGATATCTCAAATCAAGGCTTCTTCTCTTGGCACATTAGTGAGTAGGTCGACAATGCCGTATGGGAGCAATTCATTGGAGTCCTTAATGAAAATATCACACCATCTGGAAGATCCTGGAAAATCATGAGTATGACGAATCCTACAGATTGTATATATTTTTGTTAAACAGAATGGACGTCTTGAGCTTTTAGGGTCAACTAAATCAGCTTCCTTCTCTGAGAGCCGCGTCATATAAAACCCGCACTAATCCGTGGACGTTTAACGAAAAAAATTAATGTTGAATTAATTCATCTCTGATGGGGTAAAGGGGGGATCTACTTAAGCAGAGTTTTTGATGTCATCTGAGGATGTTATTTGTAGGCTAAAGTTGACTTAAATCGTCAGTTTTGGCCATTTCACCCTTGCGACCGTTATGTCGTCCTTATTCGAGAGGGGGGGGGGTTAACGTCCACTCGACACAGACTAGGTCATTTCGGGACTAACACATTGTTCAATTTTATTTAAAAAATTCGCTTGCGCGTAGGGGTCTTTAGCAATGGGAGGAAACAAGAGGACCCGGAGAAAACCAACGAGGTTGGACAGGCGATCCTACTCCTTGTCATGTACAACCGGGGAATCGAAACCATGACAGCTGACTCAATTACAGAACATATGGTACAGCGCGCACGTGCTATCCAGCGTTATATAAAACCCGCACTAATCCGCGGACTAATAGTGAAACGTTTAACGTTGAATTAACTCATCTCTAGATGGGGGTAAAGGGGATGTTCTTAAGGGAGGAAGGAAGGGTCCGGGGTCTTCTTAAGCAGTGTTTTTGATATTTTGATGACATCTGGGGTTGGTAGATGTATGCACGATAGGTGATCGTTGTACGCAAACGTCGAATTAAACCGTTCTGTGTTTCTTCTCCGGGATAGAAGGGAATTTAGCGTTATTAAGTCTGTGGACCAATAATGAAACTTTTAACGAAAAAAATTAATGTTGTATGCTGAAGACGAATTTACTCATCTTTCAGAGTGGTAAAGGGAGTGTTTTGGAGGAAGGAAGGGTCGGGGGGGGGGGCTTCTAAAGCAGTGTTTTTGATTACATCTGAGGTTGGTTGACGTATGCATGGAAGTTGACCGTTGTACGCAATAGTCGAATTAAATCGTCATATTTGGTCATTTTACCCATTGTCCCCCTGTTTTGTCGTTCTTATCCGAGATAGAAGGGGATTTCGAGTTCTTAAATTAGTGATATGTTATAGTGGACCAATAGTGAAACTTTTAACGAAAAAATTAAATGTTGTAGAGGAAGTAACTCAGCTCCCGGGAGGGGCGGGGTGTACCTAAAGGGGATGTTCTTAGTTCTTAAGGGAGGAGGGAAGGGTCGGGGGGTCTTCTTAAGCAGTGTTTTTGATGACACCTGAGGTTGGTCGACGTATGCACGAAAGTTGATCGTTGCGTTGAACTCAAAAGTCAAAGTAAATCGTCATTTTTGGCCATTTCTCCCATTTCGCGTTCATAAGTTACTGTTATGTTCTAGTGGACCAACAGTGAAACTTTTAACGAAAAAATTAATGTTGTAGGCGGAAGTCGAATTAACCTATCTCTCAGGGTGGCAAAGGGGTGTTTTAGGGGAGAATGACGGGTCCGTGGGGGAATTAAACTCCAAATTTCGACGTTTTGTCGGACCACCCCACCCCATACCAGGGGAAAGTGACCCGCAACTTAAGAATCAAGGTTCAGCGTATCGGGCACCGCTGTCCACTCATCTAGCATAGTAGAAATTTTGTACACGATTTTCGAAACAACCTCAACCTAGCTCCCTTACTAATTGAAAATTATAAAGAACACATTTTTGGAATAATATTTACCAGTATGGAAACTGGCCGCAACAACGAGCTTTCCAACTTATATTTATTTTATAGAGCTACTCTTATATCCGTGTTACCCCAGGTAAGTTATTGTGTCTGAAATAAAAGGACAGGTTCTCTAATCGCTTTCTAACGGTACATAACCTCCATTATTTTCTCAAATATTTTTTAGGAAATCATATAACATATTTTTCTGGTCTGTCATTTTTTGCAATACTTAAGGCGCTGTTATTGTGGCTGATTAGTTTTTAAACCAGTTTAGTCTATCGATTGTACACCTTCAATAGTGAAAGGTTATATAGGTTGGTTGTATGTAACCTATACAGACAGGATATTTCAAAGGTAAGTTGAATACACTATTTTATACAAACAAATATATTAGCCGACAGCCGATTATTAATATTAGCTGATATAAAGGTGAATACCTTTTGATATAAAAGCCTTTTCTAGCACAAGGAAAACTAGGTCGTAAGTAAATTTTAATTTTATTAGTTGTGTCCGTGTGATGTAGTATTTGGGTAGATATTAATGTCAGTGTAATTTGATATAAAATTATGTTGGATATTAAAAGGTAATGTGGTTTATGTTGGAGATGATTACATTCAGTGTAATGTAATATAATATAATATGTTGATACAATTTTATGTGTAATTAAGTTTGCGATATGTTTGTGCCCAACCCCCACCGCCCACTCTTCCGAATTTTTTTTATAAGTTTTAAATGTGTGTTTCTCAATTTGAATGTTTTGATTAAATTTTTGTAAAAAAAAAACCCCATAATTTGATAGTAATTTAAATCTATTTGATTCTAAATTTTGTATTGATATTTTTACTTTATTATAGCAGGTGCAAGCTGTTTAGAAGTGGATTTCACGAATGTGTTGAGTTAGTCTGCTTCGATTCAACAGACAAACTGTAAACTTCCTCACAAGCCATAGGCAAAACTTCAACACATTCCATGGTGGATTGGTACAACAGATTGTAGATGTATGAAACCAAACACTGCGAATATGGGAAACGGTAACAATAAAACATTGCTAAGAGCATGCGAGTGTGGTGATTCTGGCAGTATTCTTTCGTTGTTGGAAAATGGAGCAAATGTTAATTATACTGATTCATATGGTAATACGCCACTGTTAACAGCCATTATCAATCATCGTACACATTGTGTAGATGTGTTACTGAATAATTTTATATCTCGGGCCAACCCTGAGAAAACCGAGAAGACGACTAAGGTCACCCCTTTAATGATGGCAGCAGGTAATTTAGAAATTGTCAAATTGCTGATAAACAGGGGGTGCCAATTAAATCAGACGAATAAGTTTAAGGATTCTGCGCTACACCATGCTGTTCGAATTCAAAACCCCGAAGTTGTTAAATTGCTTGTTTTATGTGGAATAGATGTTAATATCACTAACAAGTACGGTGAAACTGCACAACACATTGCTGTCGGTCTTGGCAATGCGGAGATATGTAACATTTTGTTAGCCAAGCAACAAAATTTCGATTCGTTCGATCAGACTCATCTCACACGTATGCTACAGTATGCTATAATGGTTAAAAACCGGGAGTGGGCTCTAACATTACTTCGACACGTCACTTCCTTAGACTCGTCGTTACTATCGATGGCTTATGATAATACAGACTATAAATTGGTGGAGAATTTACTACAGAATGGCTTTGACTTGACTCTCATGAATCCTGAAGCAATAACTATATTTTTTAAAAATGAAACGAGTGTGATAGAAAATAGCGCCAGGTGTGTAAACCACTTGTTTCAGTACGGTATAGTCCAAGCGTTTAGTGGTAGACATTTATTGACTGCAATTAGAGAACTGAATGGGCGCACTTACTTCCGTCTCAATGAAGGTTTGTGCAAATACGGATTTCTGTTTATGACCATACTTTACTGGTTGTACATGTTGAACCTGATAAATAATCAAGAGTTGCGCCGCCTCTCACAGTCACCTTTTTCAAGCGACCCGTTATTAAAACTTGCTTCAAATCCGATGCCACTTCTTTGTATAACCCGTAATGTGATTTGTGGATCATTAGGTCCACCTAACCAGTGGTATAGTGTGGGTTTGTTGCCCCTGCCTGATAAACTAAAATCATTTCTAAGATATGAAGATATCCTTAATGCAATGGGTGTAAATTTCCAAAGTAATCTTTAGACATTGCTAGATCTAACAGTTGCATACTACCTTATACAATAATATTTATATACTAAACACCATTTGTATTTCCAGCTAATTATAGACATTTGGTTTACAAGCGCTATATTCGCGAAATGTGGAGATTTGTAGCATTAAGATTACTACTGAAATGAAATAGGGTTTAACAACCTACTTTTGTGCACCGACAGTGGCGCTACGGCCTACTCTTATTTCGAATTCCAACTGTCAAGGGTTCTTCTACGCGCACTCCAGTGTGTACACGGGACCTCGGTCTTTCGTCCCATCCTTCACCTCTGACAAGGGGGGGGGGACCACGGAGGAACATTTCGAGGAAATTTCTCGGCCAACACCGGGCGCGAACACGAGACCTAATGGTAAGTGAGTCCAGTCGGAGCAGAACAGTAGGACGTTAAACCCTATTTAATTTCATCTTATTGGATCTGATTTGTTCTACCCAAGGTTCGGGTCTTCCTTAAAGGAAAGTGAACCTTGTGTAGTTATAATTTCCGTCAAAACAGTTGAATTTAACAGTGTTATATCGATTGGACAAAAAAAATATAAATACGCGTGGCATCTATAAGCCCGACTGGTGCAGAAAAGTAGGACGTCAACCCCCACTTGATTACATTGCTCCATATCAGTCTCGTAATTTGTAATATTTTACCAGGCTATGAATCCGTGTGAAAATTCGCGGAACATAACCATCAAAAATGTTAGGGGAAGAGGCGGACTTTTTGGAACATTGTACCCGAAACTATAGTCCGTTAAACGCTGTGGCTTTTTACCAGTGATATAAAGTTTCATGTAGCTGGACGGGACGAAGATAAACTGTTTTAATAATCGTTTCAAAACCTAATTTATACACCAAAATATATCTGGGATTTGACTTTCAAAATGCTGTTTCACTTCGACAATTCGATGAACTGGTCAGCCATTTTGAATTCATCTTTGTTACTTTCTTTCCCTCGATATGCTCACACCCATAAAACTCATTGTGTTTATTGTATCATTTCAGTGCTTTTGAATAAAGCTCTCAACATTAACTTGGTATTTCCTATTCTATATTTTTCAGCTGATCACAGTTGTTATAAATAGTAGTCCGGTATATATATAGTAACTTGTACATAGTACTAATATTAATAAGGTATATGATAAATGTCTCTGTCTATTGACAAAAGGTTATTTCAAATCGTGTCATGATTAATTGAAAAATAGATATATCTCAATGTTTAACCAAAGGACACATATAGACAGATTAAACGACCCTTTTTAAAACTCATATATCTTTGAAAGGATATGGAAAACGATATCTTAAGTATAACGATCTACGACATGCAATCCTAACGTTTATTGCAATTTTGTGGTATTGAAATATACCTCTCTAATTCAAATAGATCGATTCACTGATCATTTCATTCATGAGGTCTTTCAAGACAAATGATATCCACAAGTTAACTATTTTTGAAATGTTTATAACGACAAGGGTACAGCTAGCCAAATTGTTGACATACTTTGTAACATTTTAAAGGCATTCCAGTACACATTAGCCTATAAAATAAAACCTTCTTAAAGAATGGGCTGGTTGTAATTTTGCCCAGAGAGCGTCACTCAGTAATAATAGAACGGATATACTCCCTGGCTCACTTACCGGGCGGTGTTTTCCCCTTGTCCGTGGCTCACGAATCCCCTTGTTGACCTAGACGTACAGTTCCCCAAACTTTCCGGCGTTTTTCCCCTTGTCAATGGTGCAGGAATGGGCGGGGGGGGGGGCTGTGATGGACAGCGTGTAGTTATTCGGATGGGATAAAAAAAAACTGAGGTCCTGTGCACACGTTGTCCGTGGCTCACTAATCCCCTTGTTGATCTAGGAGGTGGGGGAGGGGGCTGTGATGGGCAGCGTGTAGTTATTCGGATGGGATATAAACTAAGGTCCAGTGCACACCTTGACGTGCACGTAAAAGAACTCTTGTCGGTTCGAATTCAAATAATAAAGGGGACCGTAATGTCGCTGTTTGGGCCAAATTCCCCCTATAGCATAATGTATGGTGTATTTACATCTTCATTATATCGATTGATACCGAACAGTTAGGCATTCAACTCCCATTTGATATTTTTTTCTCTTTATTACAGTATTATTTAGGTTTTGCCATAATAATCTATTTTAGTAAGTACATTACAAACATTTGTTAGGAATTTAGCCTCAAATCGAATATGAACTAAAGTTTTACAGATATATTAGCAGAAATACTGTTTTGGGATAATTTTTCGGGCAATGTATTTCAGTAATTTTTCGCGCACAAACATCAGAGAATTATGAATGAGACCATATATCATAGAAATATAATTGTGTAATTACATGTAATTAAAAATAATCAACCATCACCGCTTTGTGGAAAATTCGTTTTAGTTAATGATTCATTCATCCAGAAATCCCCCACCCCCTCCCCCAAGCCTCTTACCTGTTGTTCAATCCGGTTTTGTTGAATCAATTATTGTTGAAATTATTGTTTCCCTAACTCCAGTTATTGCCAACATTTTGCTTGGAACTCTCTGGATTTGTGTTCCAAGTGTTATAAGCTTTCCAAAAATGTATAGTATGTTTGTTTGGCTGCAGGTCTACTGACATATAAATATATTTGTACTTTCTTTATGAAACAGTCACATAATTATGATATATACACGTTATATATTCTTTTTCACCTATCACTTGTTGATAAATATATTTGTACTTTTTATGAAACAGTCACATATGGTATATACCCTTTATACATTCACAACAGAAATACAAGATAAATCATTTGATATATTTTGTGGATAAATCTCATATATTATAGCACACTTCATACGATAGTATGATAGCACATAATAGTAGATTTTGTTTTATCGTTGAATCACTTATATTATAGCACACTTAATATGATAGCACTAACATAATATTGTAGTAGTGTATATTTTCACATATAATTTGCATATGTATTTAATTAATAAGATTTTTCGTCACCCTGGGCTATAGCTGGTCCTTCAGCCGCAAAGTGAATTCCGTTTAGTTTTGGTGTTTTTAAGTAATTCATTATCAATATTAATGCAAAATATATGTAAATAGGAGGGACTTGCGGGCGAATTCTGATAATTTGAATGTGAATTCCGGTGTTTATATGTTTTCAATGTGAATTCCGGTGATTTTCGGTGTGTTTTTTAAAAGGTAATTCATTATTAATATTAATGCAAAATATATATGTAAATAGGTATAGTCCTTGCGAGCAAATTCCGGTGTTTATAAGTGAATTCCGGTGATTTAATTAGTCTAACCGGTTGTGAAACCCCCTCCAAGCTGTTCTGGGCCTTGTGTCTGGTTGTGGTTCCACAGTGATATTTAAAAACATCTCATTGTTTTAATTACTTTACAAGATACAAAAGTAACAAACAAAACGTATATTCCGTCAATATTTCTCCAATGAGCACATGGATAACTTCAGAGATTTTCCAATCCCGTGGATGTGATTAAAGATTCTTTTTCCCGCGTACTGTGTGATTGGATGATATATTTCGACGAAAAACATATTCAAACTAATTGATCTATCAAAAATTTGCTTCAAATCCCTCTCAAAACTTTATTTTCGTGGGGAGATACCACAAGCTATAAATAAACTGTTATTAGACGCAATGTCTGTCAGCTTAATTCATTGTTGGAAGTTTCATTTTTCAGAATGTATTTTTAATTACTTACTGTCCATTTATCATACATATTGAGGCCTAAGTAAATTCTTAATTATTGTCTGTCAACTTCTTTTTCCGCCGTTTAATTGCCTAAGTAAATTCTTAATTATTTTCTATCAACTTCTTTTTCCGCCGTTTAATTGAGTCTTTTGTACGTTGACACCCCTCAATGTTCCCAAAAACAGCCCAAGCATTTGATCAAGAAATAACAACCGCTTCCTCGGTCAGACTAGCACACAATAAGCTGGCAGACAACAGTCGGGGTGCCAGTTAGTGATACCCTGGCATTTTTTCCCATGGATATTTTTCGGGTAAAATTAGGTGTCTAAAATTTTATAAGAAATAACCACCGATAAATTCTTTCGGGACAATGTATCTTTAAATGAGTGGAGTACACTAATTAGGACCTTTCGATTATAGCTATGGATAATCGAGACTTTGTTAATTATCGTGACAGCGGTAACAATGACAATCGAGGTTACATAGATTTTAAAATAAGGTTTTCTCGGCTGAAATTTTCAGCACAATCCATTTATATCATCTAGTTTTTAACTATTATAGTCAGCTCTTTATCAAATCTTCCATAATGTATCTCTAAAAATACAAAACAAATGTGTAAAATATCTGAAGTGAGATGTTTTGCAATGTGAAATGCCATTCGTGTCGGCGTAATAGATGTTACTTTTTTATCTGAACTCTCTGTAAACTTGAATCATGACAATTAAGAAGAGGGTCTATTTTTCTATTAGGCAAAATCGGTTTAATATTTTTCGAGTTAGTCCCATTTTTGCCCAAACCTGTCCACACTTCCTGTCGGCAAAACCTCGGCTCCCCGAGGGCGCCGCTGTCAGGGCAAATTACCCCCCATAGGTAGCAAACTGTATAGTGTATGCCTGTCTTCTTTAACCAGGGGCTAAGCAAGAGATGCAATGGCGAGCTTTGCGTCATGGTTTTCAGTTTTTGCTCCCGCTCGAAAATGGCAAAAAAAAATCACGCGGTTGCAATGCATTTCACAACATTATAATCACCATCATAATGCTTAACCAGTGTCAAACATATACCATGGGTCAGATATGCTACACATCGACTCTAAAATGTTCCACACAGTCCAATATTACCCGGCGGCACAGGGAGGAGGAGCCCCCCACCCCCTTATAAATATTGTTTTGGGGGGCCCGGACGGGATCTTGTTCCTCGTGCAAACTCCTGGGTCACCACGCCACTGTAGGACGTTGAACCCCTTTTCTGAAAACCTTGTGAGCGATAGACACTAAAGTTCTTAACATATTTTTGGGTGTGAAAAATTGCGTTCATGAGAAGACGAACCCTTTCGATATTCAGCATATTCTGCGATCTTTCGTTCCTGAGGTATGCTCCTTAATCGAAAACCTTTTGAATGCGACAGAGGCTGATTTAAGACGAACCCTACTGATATTCAACGAGTTCATTTTTGGGGCATACCAGACTTGAACTTCTTGGGTTATGGCCCCTACCTTTTGCGCAAAAGGTGAAATATGTGCAAAGTGTGTATGATTTAAGGGGAACTTAAAATAATATATTAAGACACAAACGCTGTCGGATTTTAGTATGCATCGGACCTTCCGTTCCGGAGATAATAATGCCCCCTTTTCAAACAACTTTGTGAACGCCAGAGGCTATAGTCTTTAACAGATTGGATTCATGAGAGAACGAACATTTTGATAATCAGCATTCTGCTACTTTTCGTTCCCGATTTATGCCCCTTGCGTAGCTGAAAACTATGTGAAGTAGAGAGAGAGAGAGAGAGAGAGAGAGAGAGGGGGGGGGGGTAACGTCCACTCGACACATAATAGGTCATTTCGGGACTAACATATGGTTCAATTTAATTTCAATAATTCGCTGGCGCATAGGGTTCTTTAGAAGTAGGGGAAACCAGAGGACCCGAAGAAAACCCACAAGGTTGGACAGGCTACCCTACTCCTTGTCACGTACAGCCGGGGAATCGAAACCACGCCACGCTAACCATTCGGCCATCCACCCCCCACTATGGGAAAGCGACAGAGGCTGATTCAGAGGAAACTTAAATATAACTATGTTAAAGATCTGGGATTAATTAATAGATTTTAGTGTACATGTACATATGACCTTCTGTCCCGGAGTTATGCCCCCGTAGCCGAAAAGTTTGTGAAGGCAGTAGAGGCTACAGTTTTTAACAGAATATTTTCCAAACTTGGTGTGACACATTGCGATCATGAAAGAACGAACCCTGTATTGATATTCAGCATTCCGCGACTACAGATTTTAACATTCTTTTTAAAGGAGCTAAATCGCTAATAATTGGGGCCTAGAAATTGACCCAAATGGGTCGCAACCCATATAATAATGTAATCTAATTGTATATAAACTGATTTACGTTCAATTGTTTCCGTTTTGACTCTAATTTCAAATCAGTTATGTCCAGCGAAATACGGCATGAGTCTCAACCGAATAACAATTTCTAGCGTCTGGTTATTCCAGTCTATTGCGCATGCTCTCCAGGCGTCACCGTTTGACATGAGGTGTGGAATATGTCTAACCTCGTTCTTTCTGGTCACTTATACAAATGACGCTGAAACGCACTATGGTGCACGATTCGTGTACCAATGGTAAAATGTTTATTTTGTCTTAAATATTGGATATCAGAAGCCTACCTTTTCCCGGCAAGATCACAACATCAATGTTGATTTGAATTGACAAATAATCCGTGTTTTCAACGTGTAAGAATTTGGATGATATTGAGTTAGAGACTTGGCTACTTTAAAATAATCACTGACTCATCGTATTATTTAAAACAGACCCCAAGCACGTAAAATGAATTTTAAATGGCTGTACAAGACTATGTATATAGAGACTTAGCTACTTTAAATTTAGTGCGTTGGATTCATGAGATGACAAACCCTATCGATATTCAGTGTTCAACAGCCATCTGTTCCAAAGTAACCCCCCTTTACCGATTACCGCATGGACTTGATCAAGGCTACAGTTTTTCAAATACTTTTTTTTTAAATTCCAGTTCTCCGCCAGTCTCTCGCAAAATGTGGGCGTATCTTGCATGGCAACCACTTGTGTAATACTTTGAAAGCTTTTGAAAAAACCCAACATATTTTGCGGGCAGTCACTCTAAAGTGAGACTTCGGCATGGAAAATTCCAAGGGCAATTAAGACCATAATAAACAGGAAATATAGATAGAAATGTTTTAATATACAAATTTATTTTCTTATAGGTTTAATTCTATAATAAGTTTTAAAAACTATGCAATGGTGATTGGATATACAATTAAAATGGTGACCGTTGCCGCGATTTGACTCGGTATAAATGCCGGTTCTACTCGGTACCCTATTTCAATTAATCACAAAACGTGAGACCTTGCCCTTGGGACTTTGCAAGTGAAATGGTATATAGTTATATAAAACACAATGCAATGCCAAAAAGACTAAACTGGACCTAAAAGCATTAAGGAAACTGAATAATTTTGTAAAATAAATAACAAATACAACATCAAATGAAAGACTTGTATTTAACAAATTAAAAAAAAAAAGTGAAGAGAGAGAGAGAGAGAGAGAGAGGGGGGGGGCACAAACTAGGTCATTTCGGGACTAAAACATGGTTCAATTTTATTTCAATAATTGGCTTGTGCGTAGGGTTTTTAGCAGTGGGAGGACGGAGGACCCAGAGAAAACCCTGCTTGTCACGTACAACCGGGGAATTGAAATCACGTCAGTTGACTCAATGACAGACCTTATGATACAGCGCGCACGTGTTAACCATTCGGCCACCCAACCCCCAGAGAGTAATAAAGCCAATGAAAAAAAACAAAAAAATTGTCAAACAAATAGATGCGTAACTGATGAATTTTTCCCGGGTCAAGGGAACCAAGCCAAAGCGGCTACCAAGTCAAACCGTCACACTGTAATAAAAGCCATCACAAATTATACTGGATTCATTAATTATACAGTAACATAATATAAATACCTAAATAAAAAGCAATCAACATTTAAACAGTAAATCAACAAACAGTAATTGGCTAAAAAACATTTCAAAACTATCAAAACGTGGGTAAATTATATTTTGGGTTCAAATTTGTATATATTTTTTTCTACATTTCGTAGCTTAACAATCTTTTTAAAAAAAATTTAAAATCTAGGTTTGTTCATTTGCCATGGCGACTTAACATGGCCTAATACTAAGATATGTAATAGCTTGTGGGGCAGGAGCAGGGACATTTGCTTTAGTTGTATTTTTCGAGCATTACGAGTGCTGTGTTAGTGTTAGATAGTTTGTGTAGAGTGTAGATATTTGTCAGAGTTTTGGTATATTGTGTTCGGATATTAAGATATTTTATGTTAAGAGTGATAGTATTTAAGATTTTTTGAGTTAGCTTGTTTATATTAAAGATATTTTATGCAAACAGTGTTAATATTTAAAATATTTGGTGTTCAGAGTGTTTATATTTAAAATATTTGGTGTTTAGGGTGTTGGTGTAGAAGATATTTCGTGTTAAAAGACTATCATATTTTGTGTTAAGAGGGTTTATTGTTTAAGCCAATGCCAAAAAATCAATAGACATCTTCGTCTCATGTATATAAATACTGTGTATAAATATTTTATGTCAATATGATGTTAACTTGTCTCAAGTATATAAATACTACCTATAAATGATAGTCAATCGATGGACCCGTTTACATTACAATTTTTAAGGGTCAAACATAAGCGTGCCGTACTGGGTACCGTGCCAATTTTGCCTACTGAAGTGAGGTGGTCTCGGCACGGTTAAATCTTCGTAGAGTAAACGCTATCCTATCGAAAAACGGTTCTCAGTACGAATTACTGCGCATGCGCCAAATAATTCTTGACCTTTTTTTTACGCAATCTGATTAAAATACAGATCTATATTTCGTTTCGTTTTTTTTATACTTTCTATGGCCTACACTACATGAAGATCTGACAAGTTATAGCGATAGGTCACGTCAGGGGTCAAAAGACCGACTTGTAACCCTATGACGCCAGACATTTGATTAACCAATCAGCATTGATGTTACTAGTGGATTACCCACAGTTCCGTGAAAAACACGCCTAAAGCTCGCCGTAACAGACCGTTTCATTGGTTTATCCCTGACACCATTCAGAACACGAGTTAAATCACAGAGTAAAAATATTTTTACTCTGTGGTTAAATAACAACTCTTCCAGATCCAAGTGTAGTAAAGACAAGTAAAACGAAATTTTGAACTATAAAAACGAAATAGGATCTGTGTTTTAACCAGATTGTTTTTTACGCGAACCTTGACAGGTTTATCATCAGTTCAGTCAAAATGGCTGCCTAAACTAAATCAACCGCCATAATTGTTTTCATTCGCGTAATTTGCATAGGGTCTGAAACTAACTTATCTGTGAAGAGTTCCACATTTAGCGTGCCTGGCAAGGTTCCGAGACCGGTTATTTCAGAGTAATAACGGGTCAATTTCTTAAAATTTATCGCGGCCTGGTACCGTGCCGAGAACGGCAGGCTTATCGCGGCCAAGCGCAAACGGGACTGATGTTTACTAATACTTGTGTCAGTATCAGGTTAATATTTCAAATAATATAGATCGCGGTCATTCAGTTATCAAATACAAAGCGTTTTGTTTTTCTTCTCCTTGAGGGCGATGCTATTTGAAAAAGCCTGGGGTTCGCCAATTCAAGTACAATCGATATGCAAATTGGCATGTTTGTTTCTTGGACAATTGAGGACGACTTGGCCATTTTTGATATGCGATGAGCCCAAGCTTGATTCCTGGTCCATAGTATACGTTCTTATAGCTACGAGAACGTAGCTAAAAACGTTGAGATATACTGATGTTTGTTTTAGCTACGATTGGATGCCTTTAGTTCCAAGTGGCAAACTCAATTTCTTTATTAATGCATGTAACATCTTTAAAATAAGATAAGTTTATGCTATTATGATTAATTAAACTTACAGAGGCCAATATTCGCGTTTAAATTAATGAAGCGTTGTTTTTGTCTGACATTCACCGCCCTCGAAATCCATTCATAGTTACAGTGCTTTAGATTGCCCTTTTGATTGGCTTTTATAAAAGCCTTATATTTAGCCCCGCCTTCATGATGACAGCGTATCGTTTAAAAAAATGGCGGTCTTAGTAATGGCTTAACGCCTCGATTTTAAAAACGACGATTTGTACCCATTTCAGGTAGGATTATATGATTAATTGTAGTTGGGTGTGACAGAAATATTATTAATAACAATAATCAATCGTTGTTTTGATTAAAAATATTGTCAATTTTGTTTACAAATGCCGGGTGCGAATCGCCCCCGCATGTGCTACGTTGAAGTTAATAGCATCAACTCCTATCTCGAAACACTGAGGGTTGAGAGATAAGATTTGTTATCTAACGTTCTCACTGTTTGAGATTTACAATCTAAATTTTGTGAAAATTGGTCAAGAACTCAACTTCCTTTAACCAAATAAGCCAGGGAAAGTAACTCTGGGAGTACATTTTTTGAAAATACTCTAAATCGAATAACTTTTGCTCCCTTTATTTTACTTCCAGGGCCCTTATTCACGAAAACTTAAACTAAGATACAATCGAAATTTTAAGAAATATTGCAATTCGATTGGCTGACCAGTAAAATCAATTTGCATATATCCAATGAAGTTGCAGTATTTCTTAAAATTTCGGTTGTAACTTAGTTTAAGTTTTCGTGAATAAGGGCCCAGCTATAAATACATTTTATTAAGAGGCAACTTTTTAATTGGCTCTGAGAATTATTTTATTATATCTTTATTATGAAGTGAACAATTTGAAAAAAAAAATAATCTTTTAAGTGATTACATATAGTTACAATACATGTAGTTGAAAATAAAATTTAAATTAAAAGTAACATAATCTTTGGGTAACTTCTTGGCAGGCTTATAGGAAACAACTCATCAGGTTATAGTCCTTGCCTATTCTTCACATTTAATTGTAATATTTAAATATAAAAAATTGACAAATAAAATAAAAAAGAGGAAATAATATCAAATTTAAAATGTTTATTATGGTGTCATTACACAAGTACGCTTCACTATATACACCTATGTTATAGTGAGGCTATTGTATATCACTATTACTAGGCCTTCACTATAGCACAGATGTTGGATCTCTGTTACATCCATGTTATATAGTAACATCTTTATATTATACACAATGGTTCGCATACAACAATTGTTATAGTGAGACAATTTCTAAACAAGGGCTTCACTATGAGCTATTGATGCATCCAATATGTGTAAATTGTGAAATTTAATCATAAATATATATATATGCAATCATACACAATAAATAAAATAATATTTAATTATTAATATCAATAGTTCATTCTATTGCGCCGGATATTTGTTCTGGGCGAGTTTACCTAACATTTGTGGTCTGAATATCTCTGCCTCACTTTTAAATGCATTCACTATAGTGTAGAGCAATAATATTGTTGTGAGAGCCAGTCCAATTAAAGACAGAAGCTAGATTGCCACATACATCTCAAAGAATAAACATAGACACACGCTTGTCAAGGTTCCCTAATACGTCCACCTGCAGCAAAGTCGTTCATGATAGCTATAAAATGATTGATATCAAATCCTGCAGGATCAGTTTTAAAAAAAAAAAAAAAATATATCCATTAAGGATTCTTTCACAAAATTTTAAAATCAAAATGTGAATGTACAGGATGTGAAGATTAGGATGAAAAAGGTATGTCAGGCTATACATGTATATTGTTCACAAGATATTGTGGACAGACAAGTCGACGAGGGACAGATGTGACAACAATATACTGTAGGTCCACATTATATACAAGAACAAAGTGAGTAACTAAATTAGTCTACTAGTATACAAAGAACTTTCTGGCGTAAGTATTCCGCTGCATATATTTTGGCGTGTATTTTTATTTTCTAAGAAGAGCCACAAGAAATCAATCAAAATGGAACTAGTTAAACCCTAAACCCTGTGAACGAATTTCGGAGCAGCAGTAATATCTGACACCCAGATTCATGGATGGGCTCATAATATGAGTTCAGGTTATGAATTTGGGAACATTGATCCACTCCTTATCTGACCAGGCCTCGCTTTTCTATTATGTTAAATTCATAGAATTTTTTTAAAAAAATGTTCAAAAATCACAACTCACTAAACACACAACCAAGGTAACAAATAAATATACAAACAGCAATAACACATGATTTAGTATACATGTACTAAATTCAAATTTTCATAAAAGGTACATAAATGTACCGGTAACTTACAAATATACTTTTGTAACCATTCCACAACTATAATGTTTCTAAAACTTGTTTCTAATGAACAGCTGTACCCCTTTAAACAATGTTGGTAAAATAAATTGAGTATTTTTATGTTAATATCAGAGAAGAGGCATATTTTATTTTAAAAAATAATAAATAAACAAACCGCTTATACGTATATGGATTAAAAAGTATGCAAATAATTGCACGTAATTTGCATAACATTTGTTGTAAAATGGGTAGATTTATCATTAACAATGATGGGTCTGTCGGTAAAATTGATAGCATGGCTCTCAAAGGGCTAAATGCTTTCTATTCTGAGGTTATATGGTTGTACTTGCTGTATGTTAAGCATTTCAGCTCTATATCAACAGTCCTTAATACTTTTATTTTAAATGTCTCATTGGAAATCAGATTACAAAATTAGACAACACTAAAAATACATGTAGTCATATTTGCAAAAATAATTCTTGCCGTAAAAACCTTAAATTGGGAAAATAGCTATATATATATATATATCTATAGCCAATTGCAGCTGCAGTGGGACATTAACATAGAAATTAACTCAAACTTTATTACAAAGAAACTGGTTTGTAGTTTCATGATAAATAAATGGTAAATAAACCAAAAGGGCTAACAATAAGATTAAAAAAAAGTTGACTGGAACTATTACTATCTGCCATAGGTAAGTAATAATACCTACTAATCCATCTCCATTGTGCTTTGGTACCAGTTCCAAACCCTTCTCAAAAATTTTAAGCCAAAACCAGTTTCAGACTGGTATGATCTGATATATCAGAAATTTGTCTGGTTTGCTTTCCATAAATTCACTCCAAATAACAAAATAAATAGAATAACAAAAGAGACCCATAATTGAGATCCAGCTCTGGTCCCAAACTCTGATTTGGTGTTAAGAAAGTCATCAGTCTGAATATAAATTAAAGTTTTCTAGTTAAAAATAAGGGCACACATGCAATTTCAATGTTTCATTAGCCCCAAAACTTGGCTGTACTAGAGATATCTACCCTCTACCAAATAGCTCTGGTTTCTGAAATCAAAGCTGAACTTATCACTCTATTTCCATAGCTATAGGTAGGTATTGGTGGTCTGGTAGCTGGTTATGAATATCACTCACCATATACAGCTAACAAAATTCATAGTACTCTACTAAAATTTTAACTGTATTAATTATTCATTTCTGAAGTGTGTGTATGTGTTGTGGTGGGGGGGGGGCATGAAACCATTCAGTTTGAATCAATAATAATTGTTTGACAAATCAATTGTCTTCATAAATTAAAGGGGAAGTCTCCATCATTTCCTCAATAGCCCTAATTACACAGTCTTGACTGTTCCAGCCAAAATTCTCCACTTTGTGTATAAAAGTTACCATATACATGTACACAACAAAGGCCATCATATGCCGATCAGTTGCCAAGATAATTTGGGCTGGAATGATCTGGACTAAATGAATTCTGATTCGGTTTTAAGCTCTGACTAGTTCCTTGGCTTTGGTCTGTGGATACAGAATGAGGTACCACTAGGCTTAAAGTGACATAACTGTAGGAAACAGGTCACATTAGATTTTTTTTTATTTGCTATCAATACTTTTGCTTTATTGGGTTCTGTATATTTCATCTTGGATTTCAGCATCCTACATTATACATCCATATAATAAATTAGATTTCAACCCTTGACTAGAAAATAAATTACTTATCACTGGTGGAATTGAAAATGTACATAGATAAGGATCGGCTCTGATCCACTACAATCAACCACAGACTTAAAGAAGGATGCATAGGAATCCATAAAACAGTTCATATCAGGACCATTCACTAAAATCTACAGGGGAAACAGTTCATATCATTACCATTCACTAAAATTTACAGGGGAAACAATTCATATTAGGACAATTCGATAAAATCTATAGGGGGAAAACAGTTCATATCAGAACCATTCATTAAATTTCCAGAAGAAACAGTTCATATTCACTAACATCTATAGGGGGGAAAGTTCATATCAGCACCATTCACTAAAATCTACAAAGGAAAAAGTTCATATCAGGACCATGCACTAAAAGTTATAGGGGAAACAGTTCATACAAGGACCATGCACTAAAAACTATAGAGGAAATAGTTCATATCAAAACCATAAAAACAAAGAATTCACAGATGTTAGTAAATTATTTGTTTGCCTACTTTCAATTAATATATCAAAGCTGATAGAGACTTTCCCTTTAAATGCCTGAAAAATGGGAGCTACTTCCCATTAGTGTTCACTAACACCAATAAAAGTCATTGTAAAAAGGCAAACTTCCATCAACGTCACATCTATAAAGGGAGCTAACTCCTGTGACATTCACAATCAGGGGAGTTAACTGCATAAACTTAATAGAGATCTATGAAGATAATGAAATTATAGAATATAACAGTATATACAATCTATGACTAGCTGTGATCACTGGGTTTTCTTCTCCTCTGTCTTTGGTTTAGGTGGATGGTAAAAAGGAAGTACAACTAGTGCCACCATGGCCATTATATGCAAATACCAATAGAGAGAGCTGAAAATATACAACGGAAATAACCCTGAACATGTTATCTTTAATAAAAAAAAATACAAAAATAATATAAACAAAATGACGGAGGATAATTTGGAAAATTATTTTCAAGAATTAAAATTTTAGATTTTCACAGTAAAAGAGCTGAAAACATAAAGTTCTGACCATGGTCAAGTTCCATAATAAGAATGTACATCACCTTAAACAAAATATACACATTAGAATTAGATTAGACGGTCAACAGAACTATTGAAAATGATTAAATTTTATTAAAGACTGTCTTAATAGACCATTTCAGGATTACGGTAAGCCTAATGAGTTTTACAATGGGAATTACTCTCTCAACCCCTATTGGCATGCCATGTGACCATACGGTTTTATTTAATAAATATATTAAAAACATAGTAATTAAATTATGGTTCAACATCAATTATGCAACAAGAAATACATAGAACTGTGTAGCTGTATAATAAATAGACAATAAGATAGTTAATAAAAAAAATATATAAAGTGAGGGCTATAAATACAGAGTTAGAAGGGATTGAAATTGTTAGGTGGCATAATCATGAAATGGTCAAATGAAAAGGAATTATTTTCAATTTGGCAATCCTTTGTTTTACATGAGCAAAATATGTTGCTGTTATAAGACCAATATTTATATTTTCGATAATTTGAGGCATTTGGGATATTGATAGATTATTTTAAATACAATATTATAGATTTATTGTCTTATTAGACGTAACAATGTCACAAACAAAATCTACTGCTACTGCTTTTACATTTAAATAGTTTTTTTTAGAGCTATTTGAACAGATTCTTTTGGTATTAAATGTAAATTATATAAAATTTGATCATCTGGATCAAGAAATATTCAGAAATAGATATAAAATATATACATTTTAAAGATTCACTATTTCTAGAAATCTGAAAAGCAATAAAATACAGTGCATAAATCAATCATCTAAATTGAATTCAAAATATTAATAGTACTTTGATTCAAATATGAAAATCTTCTGTCAATATGACCTGTGACCACTAGCTATAACTACAATCCAGTTCATTAAAGATACATTATTCAAGAGCTAAATTTGCAGGTCTTTCTTTGGGCCTTAAATGTTATATAAATTATTAATTAGACATTAAGACCATAATCTAATTAGCGATGCCATTGGATACTTAAGATTTTAACTAGATTAGAATGATTCGCCCATTTAATAATTTAATTTAAAAATGGGGAAGCGAGGCTAAGCCTCGTAAATACCAGTACCGTGGTTACAATAATGCACAATCAATACACGTCTTGTCAAAACTACAAACAGTGATAACTTGGCTCAGAATATATATAGTCCTTTTGCATTATCTATATTTGAACTATTATAGCAAGAACAGCCAGCTCCTTATCTAAATCTTATATAATGTATCTTTAAAACTCATTTTTAAAGCAAAGTTAACTTATTCATACCGGTACATTTAACTTTTCAAAACCCCTTAAATATTTCAAATAATAATAAATGAACTTTGGCTTAGGACAAAATAAAGTGTTGAATTGGGTTGATCTAATTTGTTTTGCCATTTGAGATTGAATAGTTTTCTTTAAAATCATCAAAACTTTGCTTTGATTATAATTTTACTTCCATGACCGAAGAATGATGAACTTTGGTTCGCAGTGACAAAGAGTAGCTAATATAAAATTACATTCACTACTTCTAGTACTACTAGATCCAATTTACCACAAAATCTAACATGGTGTTTATTCCTGTATCGGAAAGAGCATTACAATTATGAGGGACTTTTTTTTTATCACACTACACTGTAGTGCCTCACACTACATCTAACAACAATAAACTGAATTATGATGAACAGAAAAAAGTAGTTTTTAGAACTACTAACAATTGCTATTCGCAACTACACTAACTTATTGATTGGCTAAATAATTTCATGCATGGACGCGTGTTTGTAACATATTGAACATATCACGGGAAGAAGGAAATGTCACCCAATCATTGTTATATTATAAGAAAAGAATTTTTGTTGAATAATTGATCAAGGAAAAGGGGCGGGGTTCACTCAAGGTGAAAATGGACATAGAGCCCCAGAAAAAGAGGAACACATGATTTGTTGTACGATCACTAATCAAAATAATGCATCAGATCAACATACTTCAATGCTTTATTTAGGCCTAAATCAAATAGGTATAACGGGTAGCGAAGAAATAAAACACCAAAACAAAGATAACAAAAAGGGAATAGAAAATGCAGACAAAAAATAAAGTAAAAAAATCTGAAACGAAAAAATAAGAAAAGATAACTCAAGACTAACAACATGCCTAGACCAAAGGGATATCACTCTACATCCAATATAGGCAGACAATGTCTCTTACTTGTAAAGCTGAATGGCTGGCATTAATTCAAGCATTAAAAAGGGCGCACACATCCATGGATTCGCCAAACGTACGAAAGTAAACGTAATACAATCGTAAAAATAGGCTAGGCTTGCTGTCGCTTGAAACAAAGGTCGGATTTTACGTCTAATCTAAAAAAGAATAAAATGAAAGATACAGAATAAAAATTGTATAAGACTTTAGAAGCAACCATGACACAGATGGAGAGATGCAGTCACAAGATAGGCCTTAAATCTAACACTGAACTTAACACATGGTTCTTAATTTATTTATTAAGAACCTTGGCTAAAAACATACAAAAACTCTGTCTGCGTTCATTGAAGACAATAAAATCTCAATGTAATAACACACAGATGTTAGATGATATAAAATACAGAATTACATGTGTATATAATTTAAGAGGGATGTTAGGGAGCTGAAACCAAAAACTCTTTTTCATTGAAAATGTTCGTCTTATTTCAATCATGGTTACAAATAAAAATTCTGTGTGCTTTAAAACACCAAAATACAGACTGGGGCTTGTCATATTTCAGCAGTTAACAATTTGAAATTGGCAAGTTTAAATTAATCCAACTACTTTTTAAGAATAATTTCAGAGAACTCAGTCCTGTATCGAGATTTAAAAGTCAATATGTTATGAGAAAGACAACTTCGCAAAACATGTTTTTGAAACTTTTATGGCAATAGTGTTCCATCTTATTCCTAAAAGAGCCAACTCCCCAAGTTTATATTTTGGTGAATGAAATTTTGCGATTTTTCCGCTTTTGAACGCCTGCAGATTTTACGTAAAAGCAATCCTGTAACTGTCCACTCTTTATCTGTGAACATGTTTAGGCTTCAATACTCACCTGTAGAGAAGAATGGCCAGACGAAATTCAAGTATTACGAAAGGTGCAGCGAGCCATGCTAGTGCAAGTCTCGTAAAGATAAATGTAATACAATCGTAGATAAATTTGTTAGTAGTTGAAGACAATGTTAGTGGACGAATTTTTCGGCGAACCTGAAACAAGAAAGGAAGGGCCCGTCAACTCCATATGGGTTGATTTTGCCAGGGATATTTGTTGTTGGTTAGCTATATCGGAGGGGATTCTTAAGGATAGGTTACTAACATAAAAGCATTTTAATGGATAAAGATACAAATAACACCAAATGTTGTATTCATCCTGTTTCTTCAGTTGGTCACTCCAGTAAGATATAACAACACCAGATGCTATTCTTAATCAACTTTTTCTGTTGGTCCCTCCATTAAGATACAGGGGACACTTGATTAACTTTCTGGAATTGAATTCTCTCAATCTCCAAAATAGTGAAAAAGATGATTTTGTACTACAACGCATGTGCCAACTGCATAAGAAAATATGTCAACCAACCATGTCAGCTGAAACATATTTGTTGTGTTTAAATGTCACGATTCTACTCACATCACCTCTGTTGAGGGGACTGACAGAACAGGATTGAATTCTGTGTCACTTCATTGCAATTCTGTTAATTCAAGACTGACAATCGGACATTCCCAGATGTTTTTTATGTTCAGCTTATTCTGTTGGTCACTCCAGTATGAAGAAGTGGAACAAACAAGCCAAAATAAAAATCAGAAATATCTGAATCAGAAATTGGTGGGGATACTTGATTGACAGTTCCATAATTTGAATTTTCTTTGTTCCTGGAAATGTGTCAATCAGGTAAACATGACAAGACAAATCACAATAGCTGAAAGGTCACAATTCTGTTCACACCACATTTGTTTTCGAGACTGGAAGAACTGGGTCGGAACTCAATTCTGTTTCACTTAATATTAATACTGTAAATTCAGAATGGTTAATGATGTCATATTGGTATGTTGTTCAGAAATTTCAGTAACTTTTTAATTCCGACCCAAAGAGTAAGAAAAGATTATAGCTCCATGATCCAGATAATGTTATGGGGGTCCGAAATTATTGTTTTCTACTCAAACTCCTCCATTTTGTCATTACATAATTTCTAACACTGTCACACATCTGAACTTAAGACTTTAGCACACCATGTCTTATCTGGTTGAACAATGAATATTCAAATGTATAATGCATCTCAATTATACCCTAAGTCATCATTTCTTCCAGTGATCTCAGTTATAGAGTAAGACCTAATGTGAGTTAATTCTGGGTCTACTAATCAGAATTAGCCACCTTGTTTCCATCTACTCTTCTTCGATATCTAACTATCTTGGTTTCTTTTACATGCACTACCAATTTGTATATATGAGGCCTTGGTATCTTATATCATACAAACGGCTAGACATACTATGCAGATGCTTAAAATCTCTCAAAGTTTCTTTTTGGACCAATCTGTGTTTCAAACAAGAGACATCATTGATTACAAAATAAACATCCTAATGATGCAAGTGCTCAACTTCATAAATCCATGAGCAAATATGGCATAACACTGCACGGTAATGAAGTGAAAACTTTTGATGCAGGAAACAAAACTTTTAGGGGAGAGGTGTAGGGGGAATACTATTTTCCTCTATGAAAGGAGACATCAAATTAGTTCAGAAGAAAAGTAACATTGAATTTATACAGAGTGAAAGGGACAACAAATTAGAACAGAATAAATGAGACAACAAATTAGATCAGAATAAATGAGACAACAAATTCGATCAGAATAAATGAGACAACAAATTAGATCAGAATAAATAAGACAAATAATTAGATCAGAATAAATAAGACAAATAATTAGATCTGTACAACCAATTAGTTCAGAGTAAATGTGACATCAAATTAGTTCAGAGTAAATGAGACATCAAATCATTAGTTCAGGGTGATAGAGACATCAAATTAGTTGGAATGAAAGAAGAAGTACTTACCATTCTAGCAGCAAATGTTAAAAGCATCCCTGTAGCAAAGGTTAGATAATACCCTGGATAAAAACCATGCCAGGTTGCGCTGCAGGCAAATACAGCGTAAACTTTAAACTTAGGTACCCTGTCATACACAACTCTACGCAACCATATTAACGTAGTTTTATTCCATGCATCTAGATTTAATTTTAAACTATTACAAAACTGAAACAAACAAAAATATTCTTTAGACCTTTATGAAAATTATATGTAATTCAATAAATCAAATAAAACTAAAACATGAAGAAAATAATTATGAGAAATGGGGTTTAACACCTAATCAATATGATACTTCAGTCATTTTGAAATTAACTTATGGTTAGACTTACAAGGGTAGCCATAAACATTCACAATTTTAAACCATTCTTCAAAACCAAATATAAGCTTGTGAATAAACAACAATTGTGTAGCAAGCCAAAGAATTTCACTAAAAACCAGAGCACATTAATTTGTATTATTTACTATTATTCCCATCCATCGTTTATATCCAAAGGTAAAACACGTTTCGAAATGAAATGCAGAACAGTTTTACTTTGACTTTAGAAAGATAACTTACCTCGACTCCCCATATGTCTACATTATTAACAAGATCCCATTTAGGTTTACCATCTTTATCAAAGCCTTGGAAACCCAAACCGGCAGCATTATTTACAGCTTCTCCTAGTAAATAAATTAACGATAGGTTGCCAGGCAAGGAAACATACGCCTAGAGCAGCTAAATCGTCCAGGCAGTCAACAAGAGTTGTTGCATATTTTTACTTTTGTCGGTAATGAAACATTTAATACACTAAAATCTGATTACGAGTAACAACTCATTAAGTAATTATCAGAAAATCATTAGAATTTGTTTGGCCCATGCTGATGTATAGTATACAAAACATTGAATATCATGGATTTAGCTGTTAAGTTATCAAAAATCATTGAAAATCAATAAACTTGTTCGTCTCAAGACCTTAAACTCTGTGTATCAATCTAAAGTCAATGGAAAAGATTATATATAGGCGTAAACACGGTGTATAAATATAAAATCAATCAGATGGTAACTAGGGTCTCTAAAGCATCCACAAGATATTTTCAAAGTGATCAAGGACCATAACTCTGGCAGTAATTATCAGAAATCGTTGAAAATCAATAGGCTTCTTTATCTGATGATCTTAAACACTGTGTATAAATTTAAAGTCAATCAGATTAACTTTAGCCCCTAGAGCATCCACAAGATTTTTCAATGTGATCATGGGCCATAACTCTGGCAGTAATTATCGTAAATCACTGAAAATCAATGATGACCTTAAATACTGTGTATAAATTTAAAGTCAATCAGATATTAACTTTAGTCTTGAGAGCATCCACAAGATTTTTCAAAGTGATCAAGGGCCATAACTCTGGCAGTAATCGAAAATTGGTGAAAATCAATAGGCTTCTTCGTCTCATGACCGTAAACACTGTATAAATTTAAAGTCAATCGTATATTAACTTTAGTCTCTAGAGCGTCCACAATCAATTGTGGATGCCAGACCCACAGACCGACGGACGCGCGCGACGACAATATGCGATCACATTTCAATGTGGGTGTATAAAGACAATTTCAAGTTTTTTGCCAAAATAGTACTAGCCCACCTCGAAATAAACTCTACTTGGACCCACCACCCCTTTTTTAACATGACGAACACCATTTGGAATGATCTGTAATAAGTTAGTAAAGATAATCCCCCAGGAACAAACTAGATCAACACTGTGTGAATTTAAATCAGTATAATCTTCACCAAAACGCGTTTTGGGCTAATAGCCCTTCATCAGTTGACAATTTGAACAATATTAAAAAATAATCCCAGATTAGTGGTATATATACAAATTTTTTGGCGCATGCGCCTTAAGATAAATTGGGATTAAATAATCCTTAGGTTAGGATTATTATTTAAAAGATTGAAAAAAATTGAAAAAATAATCCCTATACTGGGATTAAAAAATGTTGAAAATTAAAAGATGTAGAAATTTAATCCCTGTACTGGAATTATATTAAAAAATCAGTGATCAAATTAAATTTTTCTGCTAACTGCTTCCAGACTTATATGAAGAATCCTGGAAGCAGTTAGCAGAAAAATTTAATTTGATCACTGATTTTTTAATATAATTCCAGTACAGGGATTAAATTTCTACATATTGTTCAAATTGCCAACTGATGAAGGGCTATTAGCCCGAAACGCGTTTTGGTGAAGATTATACTGATTTAAATTCACAGTGTTGATCTAGTTTGTTCCTGGGGGATTATCTTTACCAATCTACTCTACACGGACTGGTTCCTGCTCTCCCTTAGATGCATCACTGAGATCCAAACCGGACCACATTGTTACAGGGGAATCTTCCGCCCTCCTACTTTTTCGAGTGTGGGGGTTTCATCGTCTCTTTGACTTTGAATTTTTATCTGTAATAAGTATTAACTTTTCTAGGCTTTATTAAGATGTTGATCTTGGAAGTTCAAGCGAAATATATAATTTGATTATCAAAAATTTAATAAATATCTGATTGGCTAGCATTAGCAATTCAGGCAAAAATAATACGTTATCAAAATAATCCATTTTGTTATGAAAGTCTATGTTTGTCATCTATTCTGCAATATTGGGATCTGAATGTAAATAGGTGAGATTCAAAAAGAAATGTAACTGACCTAATTTCCAAGCGAAATAATATTTCTGTTTGGCTAACATCAAACAAATTAATAAATAACCCATTTTCTGTACAAAATTCATCTCATACCATGAAGGTGCTAAAAAAGAAATTAACCCAAATTTAGAGTAGAAGATAGAGACAAGAATGATTATAAAAGTTTCAAGAATGCACTACCTGAAATACAAAATATTTCACCTTTAATATAAACAATTAACCCACAGACTGATGATATGAAGGAAACTGTCAGTCATTGTAAATAAAACAGCTCCAAGTAATACACAATAACAAAGTTGGATCAAAGACAGCGCCAATTAGCAGACAATGTCAGTTGATGGAGGGGAGAACAGAAAAAACGATAACAAATCTGCAATAGTTAAGTTCTCCTTTAAGAATAGTTGAATACTTACAAACAAGGCCTTCTGGTGGACACAGGTGAGGTGCTACAAATATCATTAAAATACCACATATACCCGCAGTTAATAAAGTCTTTAACGTGGCTTTCTGTAATTATATCAAAACATAATATTATCATATACCTGCAATAAAACAGGCACTTACAATAAAGATTTGTATATGTATACATACTGAAGCCACTGTCCATGTTTCATAAAGTTCCATGATCATTTTATGAAGTTACCAAAGGTCAAAAAAAAATATCATTGACAAAGAACAATGTTCTGAGAATTGCCCAAAGTTAGCAATGGCTACAACACTGACGGTAAGTGTCCCTTCTATATAGATTGCTTTCAGTAACTTTTATCACAGAGGTCTTTAGAAGTAGGAGGGAATCTAAAGAACCATTGAAAACCCACTACCTGTAGTTTAAGCAGGTGGCCTTGTCAAGGATAATATCACACCTCAAGGGCTATCGGTAATTTTTCACAGTTGATTAGCAGAACTGCTAATCAAAAAGTCCAATTTTGCCAAATTTGATTAGCAAATTTAAAAATTGATTAGCAGTTTTTCAGTTTCAACATAAAAACCTAAATAACAAGATATTACTTTAGTTCATAACAAATATGATTAGATTCCATTCTTACTATTCTTAGATTTTTTTAGCACTGCCACAAGTACTTGTGACAGTTTGTGAATGTGATGTAGACATTTAGTTAGGTCTTATGTCTGAATCCAATTCTTAACAGTGACTTCCAAGGCCCCAATCATTTTAATTGTTATTTTTTGTTACGTTAGAAATCTTCGTTAGAAAACAATTTCGTCTGCTTTTTATCGTGTATTGCTATTTTTGTTCAATCGGGCGCACCTCAATTAACTAGACACACGCGATATTTTACGGGAATTTTTACTTTGATTTATCATTTTACAATACGTTAACATATATTTATTTTTTTATATTTTATTTACAATACGTCGGGGATACACTGGCTTTATTTCTTTCAAAATAAATATAATATAATTACTTGATGTCTCGCAACGTGAGTGGTACTACTTGATTCCCTATTTCCGGTTTAATAGTCCCTATTCATCATAGAGTTATGTCCCTGTATTATATAGTACCGTATAATGAATTGTGTCTGGGTAGTTCGAGAAAAAAATGTCACACGGAGAATTCAGTTTTGTTTATAAAATTTTATTCAACATTTTATACACGTTGAAAGTGTTCAGAAAGCCTTCTAGTCTTCAAATGTGGATTATCCTTGTGTCAATATCCAAAATGACAGGCATATTAAAGATTCGCAGTTACTGCGAATCAAAAACTTTAGATTTTAATTTTTGATTAGCAACGGACAAAATATGTATCGCAAATTGCGCTGCGATACTGGTTGTCGGCAGCCCTGCACGACTCTCTCAGATAAACGAATTAGAGGGACCTTCAGGAATAAAAGTCTGTGTACGTATGAAATTTAAGCGTAAAACTATAGAGGAATGGTGTCTGAGAATTTCAGCTAAAAAAAAAAGTTTATCCAGACAGTACCCCTTTTAAGATTTTGGGTCAATTTTCTTTGTTGGGTGACCTGATAAATCTATTACTGTTCCTTTAGAGGTCATAACAGTGTGTGATGCATGTTCTATACTTGATAACAAACGGCAAATGTCACCTACGCGTTATTTTCATAAAATAAGTCGGTTTTAATCCAGACACCATATAATACAGCTTGGGACACTTGTCTCCATTTCCAGATGAAGATTGACGGGCTTAAGTTGTTTGAAAGCGTATCACATATATTGAATTAGTTCCTCGGCCCTAAGGTAGGGTTTTTTAAGGGTTTTTCACACAAAATTGAACAGTTTTATTCTCCAAAATATAATTGAAATTAAGACCCTTCGGTTCGCCACCCTTATCCATTATTGATTTAAATGCTTGTGAGTGAGAGAATTGAGGTTTAACATCCACTCAACACAAACTAGGTCATTTCGGGACTAACACCTGGTTCAATTGTATTTCAATAATTTGCTTGCGCATAGGGGTCTTTAGCAGTGGGAAGAAACTGGAAGACTCGGAAAAAAAACCAACATGAGGTTGGATAAGCGACCCTATTCCTTGTTATGCACAACCGGGGAATCGAAACCACACCAGTTGACTCAAGGACAGACTTTATGATACAGCGCGCACGTGCTAACCATTCGACCATCCAGCCCCCCAAATTAAATACTTGAACTCACCTCAATTCCATAATGTTTAGTAGTTAAAGTTGTTTTTTTACAAGTATCTTCGTTGTTTGTTGTAAGAGTATTATTGGTTGTACCCTGTAAATAACATTGTTTACTATCACTACAATGTACATAAACAATAACTATAATACACTTAAACGCTGTAGAAACAAGATTTACAATCTCTTCACATTAAATAAATATACCCTTATTACTTACTACCTGTAGAAACAATTACATTTACCCCTTCACAATAAATATAATGTAATAATATCACTTACATGTACACTCTGTAAAAACATTGAAAAACTTTGTTCTAATTTTAAGGGCTGCGCAAAGTTAATGATAACACCCCAAAGTGTGACTGCTATTTCTTGTTTTCAGTGAATTACATTGCCGACCATAAAAAATTTACTTAAATCCCTTTTTTGAGTGGATGTCAGTGTATGAATGCATGTAAAACCAACTTACATTTTCCGTAAATGGTATTTTAGCTTCAGAGAAGTTTCTCCCTTCCATAAAGCTGATAAAATCAGAAAAAAAACACATTGGTCCACACATTATACCATGAAAATAAAACACATAACTGTAGAATGACAAAAAACTTGGCATCTTCCTGAAAGCAAAAATATTGTTCTGAATTATCAATGCAAAAATATTTGCATATTTTAAAGCTCCAGGTCAGCTATGAAAACTTAAGTGCAACTTCAAATTTTAACTTTTATCTAATATTATTTTTACTGGTGACTATAAAAGCTACTCTCTCATTGGTTTAAAACTCTTTATCTGATAGACAGAGTAATGGAATTAACTCTCAATTAATAATAATAATATGCCCACTTATACAGCCCTATATCCACAAAACGTGCTTTGATAATAGAACATGGTTTATACACGTTTTTCCTGGAAATTTTAAAGACTTTTTATTTGGTTTTAGAGAACTTTCCAATCCCCGAATCAAGGGGAAACCACGTCGGAAAATCCTGTTGAACTTTCTCGGCCAACGTCGGAAGTGGGCCGACGATCTCGGGCTAGCGAGCCAGTGCCTTACTCACTTGGCCACTAAGGCTCCCATCTTATAATTCAACGAAATCAACAAATATTGAACATAAATAAAGTATTTGAATAGTAAAATCAGCCTGTGATTAGTGATCGTAGAAGCTTGTTTCCAATCGGATGTAACATAATAGAAATTAGTGGTTATAATATTTTTACCTGATAGCTTGTGATTTTTGATCATCCGATAATTTACTGTTATCTTTATAAATTCCGTCATGTAAAGCAAATGCCATACTCGTCATTTTCTGGGTCATGATCATTAGAGGCCTGAAATATAGAAGAGTTTGGACATCTAGTCTGAATATAATCTCTTTTATTAAATGATTTTAAAGTAAAACTGATTTTAAAGGTTTAAAGTTTTAGTAGACTAACGGCCACCTAGTCAAACCATAACTCAACTTGATATCGATCGACAAGAAATCATGTGTCAACATGGAGTGACACTTGATCAGTGTAAAGACTAAATAATCCGCCTGAACGTTGCTGTGTAACTTACAAACATGGGAGAAAAATCACAACCCCTGACTTCAAACATTATTGTTTGAAGTTCATGTGTCACACCACTCGGCCAAACAACACCTTGACATTTTTTGTAAGTAATACGTACCCCGTAATATCCAACGTATAGCCACCGTAATCATAAATCTGACGCCATATATGCGTTGCCGATAAATATAACATATTATAAACAAATACAGCTTTGTGCATCCAGTCCCTACTTCCATACTTCATCAATAAATAACATACAAAAGACAGGATTATCAAGTGATAGATTTGACTGAAAAAGAAAGAAGACAGGATTATCAAGTGATAGATTTGAATGAAAAAGAAAGAAGAGCAATGGCAATATTCACATGCATTTTGTTTCTCAGGATTACACATGGTAGTACATGTATATATCATTTCACCAGTCTTAACATAAGATGTAAGGGGAGTAACTCATGGTGTGATATGGGTTTTAAAGACCACTTGACACAAACTAGGTCAGTTCACGACTAACATACATGTATGGTTTATAGCTGTGGGAGTCCCGAATATGGACAAGCAAACCCCACTCTCTGTCACGTACAAGCTGGAAATTGAAACCACGGCAGTTGACCGAATGACAGATCTTATGATCTCTAACACTCCAATCCATGGTGTATTGCCATACAATTCTGATGAATACGTAGTGTAAATTGGTCATTGAAGTGGTCCATATTAAGTTGAATAACACACTGAAATAACACAGACAATATGTGACGATTGAAACCTTCCATTATGTAACTCTTTTTGCCACAAATCTTTCCATTCTATATGTAGGTCTATATTTGTAGAATATGTCTGCCAATACGTCTTTATCAGTAGTTGGTTATTGAATGATACAGAATGACAGTATGTATAATGTTTAACTTGCATACCCTTTTGTATGCATGAGTGAAGCTTGAAATAATTGTATCGAAGAGTGAAAGATGATAAGTCAATCTAGGAGTGAAAATAACAATAGATTGGACATGTGCAATTGGGCATGTACACTCAAAGGTATTAAAAACACAATGTTTATTTACTACAACAACTTTTAACAAATGTACATAAGAATTGAAAAAATCGAGATAACAAGCATCTGTGGATAATTTCATGAAAGAATTCACTACAAATGCACAAAACCGAAACATCAGAGAACCATGAAACAAAGCAGGGGTCAGCTGAAGTCAGTATCAGGTTATGTCCACCCTGAGCTCTTACACATGCCTGAAGTCACCTTGGCATGGACTGGCACAGATGTCTCACTACACGCTGTGGGATTGTTTGCTAATGATTTTGGAGTGCCTGTGCCAACTCTGCAATAGTTCGTAGTGGCACGGCTTGAGTTCTTCTCAAAGGTGTTTGATCGGGTTCATGTAGGTAGACATAGCTGGCCAATCCATAACACGGACATGGTGATTGTGCCAACTCTGCAATAGTTCGTAGTGGCACGGCTTGAGTTCTTCTCAAAGGTGTTTGATCGGGTTCATGTAGGTAGACATAGCTGGCCAATCCATAACACGGACATGGTGATTGTTCAGAAAGTCTCTTGTCAACCTGGCTAGACGCCTTCAGACTGTTTGAGGGCTGATCTGACATTGCCGTGTTCCAACAGTTCCCCTGGCAATAGCAGTAGCTGACTGGAACCTGTTGCGCACTGTGCAGATGCTGTAGTGGGATGTGGCGATCTTGAGCAGCGGTTGTTACAGGTGGCGCTCCAGGCCAGGGTCGATCGGCTACCTGTGAAGCCCCCTGATCCAGCATGCCAACAGCTCTGTTCTTGTTTTCTTGTGTAAGGCATGGCATTTTTCCTAAGTGATGAATGTTGAAATTTTGATCTGTATTTAAAGGGCCAGAGTGCAGGGCATGCACGTGCAAAACATTTGACATGGGACTGCTTAAAATCGTGAAAAAAGACAAGTGTTGCGTTTGCACGAACAAAGTTCAATACCGAGAACTGATATTGGGTTCAAACCCAGAACTCCACGTTCTTAATGGCTTTTAGTGTATTAATAAATTTGTAACTTACTATCCAAAACAGAAGAAAGTGAGAGCCATGCCGACCGTGACCTGGACTACATGTCGCACAGTGAGACTTGTTGTCGAAGGTGATAATACCAGACGGAATGGAAAGGCTAATACAAGTGCTACCAGCTGACATACTACAAAATTCACCTGAAATAAAGTAATATCAAAATCAGCATATATTATGTAGTACATGTATGTACCTTTGTACACAACGGATTGAAATATAGAGTTTCAACAATAGAATGCTTCCATTATTTTGACAAAAACATATCTGTTTAATAAATATCTTTAATGCAAGTGTTTCTGTCTACTCTATATCTTTTACATGCACGCCATATATATTGGGTCATTTCAAATTTTGGTTTGAGTTGGTGTTGAGTAATAGATGTGTTACACATGTACACTAAATCAAATCGACCCAAATAGGGGTGATTTCATCTGATTTATAGTGATAACGAAACTAGTTATTGTTGAGTGGAACTTAGACTTATTGTGTTATTTAGATTAGATACTGATACTAGTTATTGTCGAGTGGAACTTAGACTTTACTCTCTTTTCGTTTATTCAGTAAGCTGTGTAATTAAGATCTACATATTCAAACTGTGAATATATTATACAACTCAAACTATATTATTATATTGATATTTCTAACTGTATACAGATTAATCAATTGTTACCATAATAAATTTTAAATATATGTAGATTCATAGATTAGAAGCATAAATAACCCAGAGTAGGACATTTATTGTCCCCTTAAAGGGGCATTATGGAAGATTAGATAAAGAGCTGGCAGTTCTCACTATAATAGTTAACCAGCAGCTGCCAGGCAAGATACGCCCACATTTTGCAAGAGATGGATAGAGAACAAGCTAAAAAAAAAAAGTGATTTTTCGTACAATCAAGGGCCATAATTCAGGAAGTTAAGATATGATATGCACGAATATTGAAAGGAACCAAGAACTTTGGGTTATAAAGATATATTTCAAGTTTCATCAAAATCGGATCAAAATTGTGACTTCTAGAGGGTCCACCCACAACCTTGATGTACCATATATTTTATTTGCGAACGAGAAGCGGCAATTTTGTCCGGCAGTTATGGTCGAACTCAGCCATTATTAGGGTGCAATGGTGATATATTCAAACGTTTTTCTCAATAGGATAAAAATTGTGACCTCTAGAGGGACCACAAGCCAATAACGTGATTTATCGTACAATCAGGGGCCATAATTCAGGAAGTTACGATCCTATATACATGAATATCGACAGGAACCAAGATATTTGGGTTATAAAGTAATAAACATGTGTTTCATGTTTCATCAAAATCGGATCAAAATTGTGACCTCAGGAGTATCCACAAGCTAAAAACAGGATTTTTCGTACAATCAGGGGCCATAATTCAGGAAGTTATAATCCCATATGCACAAATACCGTAAGGAACCAAGATCTTTGGGTTATAACCATGCATTTCAAGTTTCATCAAAATCAGATGAAAATTGTCACCTCCAGAGTGTCCACAAGCTAAAAACGTGATTTTTTTTATACAATCAGGGGCTATAATCCATGAAGTTACATGTATGGTTCGATACATGCCAATATCGAAAGGAACCGAGATCTTTGGGAGATAGGCCTATGTTTCAAGTTTCATCAAAATCGGATAAAATTGTGACCTGTAGAGTGTCCACAAACAAATTGTGGACGGACAGGGGCGTCGACAATATAGTCTTATAGATAATGTACATTTAAAGGGAATATGCTGAAAATTGCTCCACACTGAACCGAGATATTTGTGATTGAATTTTAGGCCTAGCCTCAAGCAGCAGATCGGGGCCCTGTTTCACAAAAATTTAAATCTCCTTAAAATCGTCTTAAACTAAAATTCCATCCTAACTTAAGATAGATGCGTTTCACAAATCAATTTTAAGCATTTTAGATAAAATCCACTAAAATAATATTGTAAGTTAAAATTCTATCTTAACTTAAAATAGTGGCGTTTCACAAAGCTATTTTAGGGACAATTTTAACTAAAATCAATTTTAATTTAGGACAGCCGTCACCCTCTCCTAACTTAAAATCACGACATTAACAAACATTGATTAGAGCTACGTTGTGGGATCTATTGCGACATATGGATATATTTGGAATGATGATAATATTGCCAATGGCCCTGGTTGTATAATTTAAACATACTATCATTCACAAAAATAATTCTCATTCATTTTTTTTTATTGCATGGGATTTGGGAAATATAGCTGCGGCCCACTTTAAGGCAATATAAGCAATTAGATGACGCCCCAAATTAAAACCCCAAGAACAAAAAAAAACCTCAAAACTCTTTGTTACTGTTTTATATATTACCATGATTCAAGTATAAATAATATTATTTTCAAATAATTAAAAGACCCCCCCCCCCCCCAAAAGTCCTAAAATAAATTTAAACACACTTCATATCTAATGTCTAAAAAAATATTTTTGTAGGCCTACAATTGTTTAAAATGAGAGAGAGAGAGAGGCTTTTCGGGACTAACACATGGTTCAATTTTATTTCAATAATTTGCTTGGGCGTAGGGGTCTTTAGTAGTGTGAGGACACCGGAGGTCCCGGAGAAAACCCAAGAGGTTGGACGTACAACCGGGGAATCGAAACCCTGTCAGTCCTATAATACTAGATACGCCATATGCAAAGTAAATGAAATGAAAATGAAATGGGGTTTAACGTCCTACTGTTCTGCTCCTATACTGGGCTAATGAAGACGGGCATACGCCATAGTGTGCTATGAGGGAAATTTTACCCTGGCAGCGGCACTATCGCCTGCTTTTATATCGAATTCCAACTGCCAGAGGATCTTTTACGTGCATTCCAATATATACACTGGACCTTGGTTTTTCGTCTCATCCGAAGGACTAGACAGCTGTCCTTGTCAGGCCCTCCGTCCCGCATCATTGACAAGGGGGAACCACGCCGGAAACCTATGCACAGTATTTATGGCTTTGGGGTTATGATGATTTATAGGAGCCAAGGGTATTTTATATTGGGAATAGATAGGCATTATCCAATAAGGAGTGTGGCACTTTGGCATTTTCAAATTATTATTGAAAGGGTCCATGGGACTGACATTTCAAATCTAGGCATCGCCGGAACATTGGTTATTTTGTGTAATAATTTAAAAGTTATTAAATACTTTTAAAAATTGACAATAGTTTAGTCTAGATTAATCGTTTGAGTCAGAAATATCACATGTTTGTGACAATTTCTCAGTAGTTTCTGTTATCCAAAATACCATAAAACTACGAAATTCAAGCGATTTAGTTTATCGATAGGCCTACGCATTATTTCCATTGAAGCCTGCGAGTAAATCAAATGCCAAGGTCACGAAAGCGACATGCAAGTTCAAGGCCAACCAACTGATAATTTCAAAACAAAAAACATGCAATAAACGTATTTATTTCATCTCTCTGCGATTGACTGACCATGTGCAGACATTGTTACAACGTATGAAACCCCCCTCTTTGGTATTGTAACGGTTAGTTCAACCTGGCAACAGTTTTCAGTTCCGAAGCGTGTACGCTCACACCGTATGTGACCTCACCGGAATTGTGCACTGCGCGAGCGCAAGCAATTTTAACTAAAATCTATTAAAATTGCATTTTAAGTTACAATCGATCCAGTAAAATGAGACATATAAGATGGCATCGAGAGTTGATTAAGGTCTTTTCATGTTAATATGTCTAATTAATAATAGTTTATACATGTATAACATTTCAGGCCTAAAAAAACACCTGCAATAGGCAAATTTAGCTCTTGCATAATGTATGTTTAAGTTTAAGGTCCATAGTCAATTCTGATATAAATATGTCAGTCGTTACTACATGTATTATGTAAAATCTTTGATAATCAAGACTATAGTGTTTAACGAGGATGTGAGATAACATTATGATTAACAGAGTTTGATATCAAATCAACTATTGTCTATAGTACATGTAGACTAAATGATGATTATATAACACATTCTGAACAATTTGATACAATTACCGGTACTTCCTCATTAACCAATAACCCCCACCGTAAAACATTTTCGCTATCAATGTTCTAGAAAAAGCAAGTGACAGCAATTATCACTATTGTCATTTAGAAAATAAAAGAAATATGTAGGGCCTACTGTACGAAGTTTATATAGTTTTTATCTTATCAAATCATTGGTAATAACATAAGAACATGATATACATATACAAATGTAGTTCAAATATCTTCAATCCAAAATACTTTGGCCTCAGATTAGAGTCTAGTAAAAAATAAAAAAAGAGGTGAATAAATTGAAATATTAAAACAAAAATCGCCTAATGGTTAAAGAAGCATTACTTGTATATATTTAAGATTCAGATAAAATACTACGGTAATAATAGTTCAAAAATAGATGATGAAAAATTAATATAGTGAAAATTTAAGTCAAATTACTTTATTCTGTGCGAAGTTATGAGTGTTGGAAGTTCTGACAAAATACGTATTATCCTAGCCACGGTATGTGGCAATCAAGACTAAATCTCAATTATCGTACACATGTATCTATTTTATCACTATAGATCTACTCTTAAATGGCCGCGTTTTTCTAATCTACTTAAAATCGGAGCCATGGGCTTGTCATGTTAATAAATTTTTAAATAATAATTCATAACATTTGAAGCCAGATTTCACTTAGTGAAACTATAAATGCCTACAACAAAACAAAGACCATGTACAATATACATGTATACATTGTTATTGTTATTTCCAGGACTAAATCAAAGAGACAATTATCTTAACAAAATCTATTGGAAATTTATTTGAAATATCTAACGTTAAGTCCAAAAATGTTTAAATATGCTGTAATGTCCCCAAAATGGGCCAAAGCTACAGTACTTGAACATCATTTTAAAAAGCTAATTAATTACAATCCTTGTTCTACTTTTTCAATTTAGTTCAAATCTGTCATAAGCTTTAGATGAAGTAACAGCAGCATTAAAACTGGACCCTTTAGCTGAAAAGGACATTGCATCTGGACAAGCATCACCCAATAAAAATATATCAAGTATGGTACAGGTATTGATAGTTACCAAATTATGTTTGAAATCCATCAATTCCAATCATAACTCCAATTGCTGTATATGTTGGTCACACATATATCATTGGTAATTTGGATCGTTGGAGAATGTGTCGGAAAAATATATTATTGACTGTTTATCGACACATTCAGTTCTTCAATGAATAGGGTAAAGCATGTACATTAGTTGTTATTAGTATAATATTAAAATACTGTTATATTCTTCGATTAAATAAATTTTAAAATCTAAGTACCGGTAACAAATTTTTTTAATGCGGTGAAATGTCATTACATCCAAATATGTAAAGAAAAGCACTTCTCGGTATTTATTACAAAGGTGTCACAAAACTGTTAGGTACTACGACATTTTGTTATACTTTTTTTCATAATTTAATCATCTGAAATTATTTGACAAATCCTATAGATAACAAACCTCATCTCTCAACCCTCTGTGTTTCGAGATAAGAGATGGTCCCATATTCCAATGTAGCAATGCCCAACGCGAATCAGATCGGACCTCAGTAAGCAAAATTGACAATATTTTTCATCAAAACAACGATTATTATCTAAAATATTTCTGCCACATCCAACTAAAATTAAGCATATAATCCTACCTGAAACGGGTATAAATCATCGTATTTAAAATCGAGGCGTTAAGATGTTACTAGGAACGGCATGTCTAAAGCACCGTAACTATGAATGGACTTCGATGGCGGTGTACAAATGTATTTTGGATAAAAACAACGCTTCATTAATTTCAACATGAACATTTGGAGTTAGGTTATAGTTGTGCCACTACATTGGCCTCTGAAAGTTTAATTAGTCATAATTGTGTAAAATTAACTTATTTTTAAGATGTTACATGCATTAATTAATAAAGAAACTGGGTTTGCCACTTGGAACTAAAGCAAAGGCACCCAAACAAGCACGTCAGTTTTTAGCTACGTTCTCATAGCTAAGATCCTTCAGATAATATCTGACACATGGATCGTCACCCCTTGGCTATTCAAACTCTGTGTAAGAGTACATGTAGGCCTACTGGTACTATTCCAATTCAAATTTTTTATAACTTAAAGGAGCTAAACCGCTAATATTCGGGACCTAGAAATTGGCACAAATGGGTCGCAATGCATATAATAATGTAATATGAATGTATGATTTACATTCAATCGTTTCCGTTTTTACTCTAATTTTAAATCAGTTATGTTCGGCGAAATATGCCAGAAGTCTCAATCTAATGGCAATCTTTAGCATCTGGTTATTCCAGTCTACACCAATATTATTTATTGTGCATGCTCTCCAGATAAGAATATGACGTCACCGTTTAACATGAATTGTGGAATATGTCTAGCCTCGTTCTTCAAGTCCCTTGTTATGGCGCTGAAACGCATTATGGTACACGATTCGTGTATAAATGTAAAATGTATATTTTGTCTTAAATATTGGATCAGAAGCTCATCTTTTCCCGGTAAGATTACAACATCAATGTTGATTTAAATTGACAAATAATTTGTGTTTTCAATATCGAAGACTTTGGATGATACTGAGTTAGAGACTTAGCTACTTCAAGTCAAATTTTAATGGAAGTGGATAAACGACCGGATTCGGTTCCTGACGAAAATTTACATGTACTACGAAACCGGATATCGTCTCTGATTGGCCAATTTTATCACCTGGTTATTAGGGGTCTTTTCCAATATGGAGGCCTCTACAGGCATCCTTGTTGGTGCTAAATTTACGACTCTAAATTCACTTTTAGAGGTGATGAAACAATTTTAATTTAAGAATAAAGTGACATATTGGCGAAGAGATACGCGGACATTAGAAAATGCAAGAAAGCGAGGAATTAACGTTCCAGATAACCCAGAAATTCTTCTGGTGGAAGAACATTTAAGTAAAAAAGTACCGGAAAGAGACCACAACACGGGTACGGTTCCTTTTTTTAGGGTTTGGGTTAGGGTTAGTTTGGCCAATCAGAGACAATATCTGGTTTCGTAGTAAATTTTCGTAAGGAACCGAATCAGAGACGATATCCGGTTTCGTAGTAAATTTTCGTAAGGAACCAATTCCGGTCGTTTATCCACTTCCAATTTTAATTACCATGCCGATAAAGTAAAACTGAAGATCTTTTACTCTTAGTTTTTGCCAATTTCGGTCCATGTTAAAAGAATTTTCAATCCGTTAATTAGCGGAAAGTAGACCACAGTTTCAATTTTAATCTTCAATTTCAAATTAAGGTGCTATCTTTAATTAATTAATTAATCTTTTCTCATAATTCCTGGTATTCTCACCTGATCAATCGGCAAACCAATCACTTCTGTAAGTGGGCTTAACAGGCGAGATCCAGCATAAAATTCACCACTACGAACCATTCTGATGATATATCAGACGTTCTTCAAAACTTCAAACTGCGTTCCACTTCGCGATTCAACGCATTTCTTTTAATAATGCCAAAAATCTAAGATCTCTTCAACTTTATCTCTTGCACGTTTACCATTTTCGTTTAATCCCAGCGAGCTTCATCCAAAATGGCGATGTAAACAAAATGATAGACACTATTATCCAGAATTTTATGGAAACACCTTTGTGCAATGAATTTATTAGATACGGAAGCCCATTGTTAACGGCGAATGGTTTGACACCTCTTCCGTTGGTTGTTAGATTTCTGTTGAATTTTCTGAACGAATTCTGCCAGGGGCACAGGGCAGTATTTGAAACTTTTAAATCAGAGGGCGTTCATAATCGGCCAATGCATGACTGTGACAAACTTTTGATCCGATTTCTGCCCTTACACATGACTATAGATTCAAAAACATGTAGGCCTACTATAGTTTTATGTAGGATTGGTAGATGAATATTTTCCACGTGTAATTTCCTATAGAATTCTGTAAGAAACTATTGGAAAAAAAACCCCTACAGATCTCGATTCATTGGTGCTGCTATAGTTTTCTATAGAACTAACTTGTATCCTCGAGTCAGTTGAGTAATCCTTCAGTTTTCTATAGCCTTTGTGGTAAAAACTATAGTTTATTATAGAACTAACTTGTATTCCCATGTCAACTGTGGTTCCTATAGATTTGGCGGTAAAAACTATAGTTTTCTACAGAACTAACTTATTGTCTCAAATTCCTATAGTTTTCTATGACATTCTGTAGAAAACAATGGAAAAAAATATTTTTTTCTATAGATTTTGTGGAGAAAAATATAATGCATGAGCCTTCTATAGTTTTCTGTAGAATTTATATGTATACTGTACTTAAACCATTTTAACAAATAGCCTACGATAGTTTCCTACATAATATTGTAGAAACAATGTTCTATACTACAGATTTCATAAATTGGTGATGTCTTTTATTCATACTATAGTTTACAATGGAATTTAGTGATACACTTAAACCGTTATTGTACTTTTGTAGTTAAACCGCTGTGCTAGCGACGCTGCAGAACGCCTTTTTGTCCAAAATTGTCGTCTAGCATACAGGAGTTTTGTGTTATGAAATCAGGTCCAAACTGTCGGCATGTAGTGACTGGCATCGTACACGAGGTAGGTTAAGCTTACCCCAGTCGAGGAATTGTCAAAGCTAAACGACTTTTAGTCTGCTTTTGTATTTTTAGGTTACTTGAGTAATACCGAAAGTAATTTACTTTTGTACGTCAAATATTTCATTATTTTGAGAAAATAAATTAATTAGCTACACTGTTAGAAATAAATGTTAATTTACCGTAAGAATGTGGTAAAATATTTACGTAGTTGTATGTTATTTTACAAATGTATGTTTTATTACACCAAACAGAAGTGATAGTACAAATAGTCGTACAAAAAACATATTATACAGGTGATTTTACCGTGAAATAATTTATTTTTACATACGTAACGTCAAAATACAGTAATGTTCAGTGTATTCAAACTATAGGAAGATGTACCGTAGCCCAAATTGGTTGTCGTAAAATGTTGAAATCACAGAAATGTTTTATTCAATAGTAATGAAAGCAAACCTTGAAATATTTTTGTTAACATTTCTCAACACACAACCAATTAACAGTGACCGTTGAAGTCCACAACCAAATAGCAAATGATGTTACGACAACCACCAGGAAAACTGTCAGAAATGTATGTAAAATTACAGTAGTACAAGGGTTTTTTGTATCTCAATTATCGGTATATTTTACAACATACTACTTTTACCAAGTCTAATGTATTTTTACCGAGTTTCAAGTATGTTTATCGAGTTTCATGTCTTTTTGACAATAAGTGGCGATCGAATCAAAGACATATTCAAAATCCTGTAAAAATACATATAATGTAATAAAATTGAACTGAAAGTAACGCAGCAAGCGTGTTACTTTACAGATTTTACGTTTGTTCACATTATTATGTAATTTACTTTTAGGTAAGAAATATAAGTAAAATTACAGCAGTTAAAGAATTTGTTTTACCTTAAAATATTGAACGGAAAATAACATAGCCAGCATGTCATTTTACAGACTTACGTTTATTCACGTTATTTTGTAAATTTACTTATTCGGTAAATTTACTTATTCGGTAAATTTACTATCTCTTATTGTATTTTAGTATTCCATAGAAACAAAACATTCCTAATAATTATCTTCTTATGGTATTCATTTCAATTTATTAACCATAATATGGACAATCACATCTTGTAAATTTAGTATATTGCATGTCATGTATATCTAGTTTCCATTATTTATAAGATCTATAAAGTGTGTTGATATTTAGCGTACGTTAATCAGTTTGTAAGTATTTTCTTAAATGCATAAAAAAAAAATGTTCTGACTTTCTGGCCGTAGGTTGTATTATCTCGTTTTCAAGTTCACTTGAAGGCGGTAAATTAAATCGATTGGCCAGTGTTAGTTGGGCCGGACTGTCTGTAAAGCAGGGTTATAATGCCTGCAAATAGATAGTAACGCGAGCTTACATCTGGAAGCCTGGAACCATGCTCTCGTCTACCAAACAGGATTATCGATATTCAATATATATCAAAGTGAAATTAATACGAAATATTTTACACCGGGGCTATTGCTCGAATCTTGCATGTAAAATTACCAATATTAGTATGTTTAACAAAAGTGTAAATTAACAGTGTGATGTATTTTTACAAGAAATGTAAATTAACATTGTGATGTAGTTTTACAAGAAATGTAAATTAACAGATATGTCTTTCTACAGTAAATTGTTAAATAACTAATGGTGTAATTTTACCTATGATTTAGGGGCAACTTTTGCTGCCCGTAATTTTAGGGTAAAATAACCAAAATATTTTTAACAGTGTACCTTATTCAATGTTGTTTCTATATTTTCTCTCCTACCAACATTACTTAAAATGGTTTTGTACAATCGAAAGAACTAAGCCCACCCGGAGATGAATGGTTATCACCACCCTCGGTATTGCCAGTAGTCCCACTCCGTTCTACTGCAGTATACCCTGGGTTCATCCATGGGGTATTCACGTATTCAAATTATCTGCCCTTGATCGTAGCACGATTCTACAAACCAATAAAAACAGTTTACAAACCAGTCTTTACCTCATTGTTTACGTTTACAATAATATGGTGGCTTGTTACTTTTAACCCAGTCTAATATACTTACAGTACTTCAATGTATGTATAACTTATATAACTTCTTACTCATATACTGTAAAAATGATAAATTCAAATATTACAGTTGAAGTTGTATCCCGGTGGTGGCCGAGAGAGTTTATCGGGATTTTCCGGCTTGGTACCTCCTGCAGAGGGCCCGGCAAGGGAACACATATAGTCGTTTGGATGGGACAAAAACCGAGGTCCCGTGTCCTCACTGATGTGCACGTAAAAGAACCTTTGGCAGTTGGAATTCGAAATAAGAGTATAGGCGCCGTATTGCCGCTGTCCGGGCAAAATTTCCCTCATAGCACACTGTATGGCGTATGCCCGTCTTCAGCATCCCAGTCGGTGCAGAACAGCAATAGAACGTTAAACCCCAGTTCATTTCATTTCCCTTTTCAATTTTTGGTTACTGTTATATATAGAAGGGTAACCCGTGTTTTCCGTTTGCGTTCGTCACTTCCTTTTGTTGATATCTTCATTACGCATCTGTCGTAGCACTGATCTCTGTGTTAAAATTATATTTAGAACGCGTTTAACCAGTTCTATCACATATGTGATAATGTCTGACACCAATATTTTCCTTTACCGCTGCTGATCACATGTTTTCGTATATTCTTATTTTTGCCTTTGACTATTTACATGTATTTTTATTCTTAGGTATTGTATCTTCTTTAAGTTTGTAAAGAGCATCTGGGCACTTAGGTGAAAGATGCGCTATATAATTATTAATGTAGTTCGTCTATTTATAGCAATTCTCTTTCTGTCTCTTTTCTCCCCTTTTTCATGCCCATTTTTGTTGATTTTTGGTCTAGAATGGATGAAGAGGGTTTGAATTAAAATTTTCTGCCAGGGTTTGGTAAATATTCATGATACATGTATGTACGGCATCTAGTTACATGTTTTTAGTGTGCTTCTTCAAGTTTGTGTATCTCAAAATTTTGGTGGTCAACCTCATACAAATTTTAGTGCAAAGACATGACCATTTGTTACTCTGTCTGTAGTGAAAAGCATTCAGCCCAACGAAAATTTGGGGAAAGGTTGGAGGTGGGCAAAGAGGCCAGAATTAACATTGAAGTTAATGGGGAAATCAATGGTGGTTACCTCCCTTATAACGTGACGCTACAGTGGCTTATAACTTATTATAGATAATGAGTGTTTTACCAATAAGCTACAATGTTAATGACACTTTTCCAAATTCTCAATTATTTGAACATCCAATAGCTGTATTATATTGATAGCGCCAGTCGAAGAACACACTCGACAAAATATCGTAATGATGTTAATGAATATTAGAGATTTTGATCGGAATGGTAACCATAGGCGTACGGGCTCGATGGCAGTTAGGGTAGGGGGGCAGGAACCCGAATTGCCCGAAAAAATTTTTTGGTTTACAGACAGCGGCGCGGTCTTGCTCGAGAGGCGAAGAATCGGGGCTTACCTTAAGTGGATCCTACCCCCCCCCCCCCAAAGAAAATTTTGGAATATCTGACGGCTGCAAACACGTTTTCCTGCTATTTCAGCCCGTGAACAAAGCAACTTCAAAGTGGTCTAATATAGGCTAATTAAGATGGCTGGCTCGAATTCCAACCAGAAGATCAATCGTTTACAGTCCACGGAGACGGGACCGTTGGGAGAAAATTTGGAAAATTTAACCACCGCAAATGCGTTTTCTGCTATTTTAGCCCGTGTAAGCAACTCCAAAAGTATCCAATGGTTTTGTAACCGAAATCCCATTCTGAATTCCAACCATCCAATCAGACTGTTGCAACTGCATTCACAATAATAATCGATGCCTGAAATTGTCCAACAAAGTAGAGTGGCTCCAGACAAAATGTTTTAATCCATAGTCAACTCAGTACAAATTCGTGGTATTCAATTAAAATAAAAGTAAAATTAGTTCTTTATTAGGGCTCGACGACAGTTAGGGAAGCAAAAATAGAAATGCCCCAAAAAATTTCAGGTTTACAGACAGCGGCGCCGGTTTTCTTCGAGAGGCGAAGAAGCAGAGCTGACCTTGTATGGACCCCCCCCCCCCCTCCACCCCCTAAGAACATTTTGGAAGATTTGACGGCTGCAAAAGCGTTTTACTGCTATTCCTGCCCGTAAAATTAGTGTTTTATTAGATTTCGGGCGCTTTATTTGGCTAAGTAGATGAAATAAAATTTTTTTTCACTTTACCCGTCTGCCCGAAAAGTCAGCTTGCCCGAAAGTTAGGGGGCAGCTGCCCCCCCCCCCCTGCCCCCCTGGTCCGTACGCCTATGATTGTAACCCGTTCCACCAAATCTATAAAAGGATTTAAAGTATCATAATAACTTGTAATCGTAAGATGCGCCTTTTTTTAAGGACGTAATGATCTAGTCTACCTTCTTAAACGGCCATGCTTCGTCAATTTCTTTCATATCGATACAAACAAGTAATTGATATACATGTTCAGTCCGTTTGTGGGCAATTTCAATTTACTTCCGCGTTCAGCCTTAAGTTCATTTTGTAATTCAAGTTCAATATGGTGTAACGATAAAACATGGAGTACATGCCAGCAACTATATAAAGTAAAGTAAGTCTAATATCTTGGATTATTAATATCGCTGTAAATGGGATAACGGGATAGAATATGCACGGTGTATATATGTATTAAACTTTTGTACATTCATTACTATACATATAAATGTATAACCACTTATATGGACATCCGGGTATCATTATAGGGAATATGTTGACGGGAAATATTTCAATATTTCAATAGTTTTTGATAATAGTGTGTTTCCAGTAGATATCGTATGTTACACAGAGTGTGTTGGGTATGTATGATTAAATATGGATCCTTAAAACTTAAACGCTAATCAAACTCGAAATTCATAAATACACGGTGACAAGTCACCGTAATGCATGAATTTTACCACAGGGGGACGTGATAAAATGACTGACGAGAGAGAGAGAGAGAGGGGGGGGGGGGAGATTAGGTCTTTTGGGGACGAACAGGTGGTTCAGTTTTATTTCAATAATTATCTTGCACGTAGGAGTCTTCAGCAGTAGGGAGAAAACCCACGAGGTTAGACAGGCCACAGTGTCAGTATTAGCTGTTTCGATAAGGGTATTCATATTATAAAACCACGTGAATTGCGTAAATACAGACACATGTTTTGTGACGTTGAGCTGTGATGAATGAAGATAAGTATACATTATATAATCCTATGTGTATCGAAACGTAGCATGTTAATAAATTCAGAAGTAGTATATCCATATAAGTGTGTTTTATTTTTATACATTATACTAATTAACAATTCCCCGAAGGACGGACAGGGCAGCCCCGGTCATGAGGAGGCGCGTAACCCTAGGGGGTTTACTCCCCCGGGCAAGAGGAAATATTGAAAAACTGAATGTAACACTCCCCCGGGCAAAAGGAAAAATTGAAAAACTGAATGTAACTGGCGATTGCTAAGTACAAATCCTCCCGAGTCATTTTGTTTTTCGATCAATTCACCAAGACTACGCGAGGACACTAACTTCTTTAGGGGTCACTGACAGGCCTCCACGTGCCACTGTATATTCGTATTATCCAAAGAAATCGTTGGTTATAATGCAAACTAGTGGGCTTTCAAATTGTTGGGGTTGGGTTGGTTGGGGTGGGGTGGGGTGGGTGGGGTGGGCGTTGTTCTCCCCCACTGCGCCGATAAATGTGGCATAAATGGGAAGAGTCCATTTGACGTATCTTTGGCGGGGAATACCATACATTGACACTTGGGTGAGGAATACTAGCTAAGCTTCATTTCTGTTCGCTAATGATAGACAGATAAGCTATCACACACGCTGTATGATATGCGAAAGGTGCGCAGTTTATCGATACAACTGTCATTTCAAATGTACTAGGACTGTCCCATGTCATATTATATTCACAAAACGTTCAAGTAGAAGGAAATGTTAGATAACAACTCTACGCTATTGTATTATTCACATTGACTCTACAATAAACAATTTATTGAGCAAAACTAAGTCCATATCAACCGACAGTCAATTATATACGTTATTTACACAGCTAACGTTATATTATCATCTAAATATAGGTTAATTATTTCAAATCTGTGGGTGCGGTGGACAATTTCACCTTTTCCGGTGGAGGAACAACCATTCTAGTACGAACAGCCACTCCAGGTCCCCAAAGTAAGACCGGAGCCCTAAAACTCTAACATTTGGTCGAACTATTGCACATAGATAGATATTGCTGCCAGGCACAGTAATAAATGATCACCGGTGCACGATTTGTTGACAAAATATTGAGTTTTAATATGAATCAACAAGAAATCAGAATTGGGTTCCTTGGTGTATATTTATTGTATGTAACATATTTTATCAGTTCGCTTGCACGCTTCACTTGTTGGAATGAAACTGGAGATCTCAGAGAAAACGCAGAGATTTTGTTGAGGATTTGACTTTATACTCGGAAATCTAGGGCTTATTTTAAGGTTTTTTTGTCCAGGTATGGTTTTAGCAGTTCGCTTGCACGCTTCACTTGTTGGGATGCAACTGAAGATCTCGGAGAAAACGCACAGATTTTGTTGAGGATTTGACTTTATACTCGGAAATCCAGGGCTTATTTAAAGGTTTTATTGTCCAGGCATGGTTTCCGGTGTTTTAGAAAAATTTATAGAATTTGACTTCCGATAACACGATATCACGCTTACACTTTTATAACCAATATACAACAGGATTAACATATTTATATTTATAATCGCGTGTCAGCATCATTAACAGTTCAAAGAAATATCCAAAGGCAAACGAAGCTACTCTGTCACCTGCAGCTGACGATGTTCTGCCATGTAATTTTCGTGTTTTAAGGTGGTGGTGAGAATACGTCAACAATACAAAACTTTTGAAACAGAAATTGAAAGTGGTAAATGATCATAATGATAGCTGTTTCCCCCATACAATCTTCAAAGCACGGATTTCAGATTTTCAACGCACAGATTTTTTTTTATCCAGAGGCATGTCTGTGCCTGCAGGCAGGCCCTGTGGAAATCCCGTGTAGGACAAATTATTTGCCATATTTTAGCCCTGCTCGGATAATCACTAAAGAATCTGCGAGCGTGAAATAGTTCGATACAATTTACATGTTATTTCTTTACTATAATATCGACGTCCCATTGAATGAAAGAGGCAGCTCTATTCATTTTTTTATTGTTTGTCCAAGGTGACGATCTAGAATATAGTGTCCAGCATATTTAAATTTTACTGGGAGGGTTTAATCAAAAAACGTGGGAGAGGTCAATTCCCATTTTAATGGCTTAAAAGCTTTAAGACTTGATTAATGTCACGAGGGTATAGTTCGATGAAATGTTTATTTTCTTTACTACTTTAGAGTTTCAATGAGTTTGGTTGAAATAAGTTAAGCTATCGACACTCTAGAAGTCTATTGGAGGAAAACGAAGAAAAAGAATATTTTTTTATCAGATCTTTATCTGTCTAATTTATTTTATAGTTCGGTAATTGATCTTGATTAAAGTATTGGGACATAGATAGAAACATTGTTATTCGAGTAGAATAAGTATAACCTATAATGCTATGCCTGAATATTGTTTGTATAGAGTGAATTAACCTTTCCAGTTATATCATATGTTGTTATAGATACACATTACCCTTCACCTTTCCCAACTATGAAAACTGTTTAACCATCATCACACGACGTGAACTAATACATTTTTAACCCTCTGAGAAATAGGGGGTGGGGGGTGATGGCCAAATGGTTAGCACGTGCGCGCTGTATCATAAGGCCTGTCATTGAGTCAACTGGCGTGGTTTAGAATCCCCGGTTGTACGTGACAAGGAGTAGGGTCGCCTGTCCAATCTCGTGGGTTTTCTCCGGGTCCTCCGGTTTCCTCCCACTGCTAAAAACCCCTACGCGCAAGCGAATTATTGAAATAAAAAGTTAAACCATAATGTTAGTCCCGAAATGACCTAGTTTGTATCGAGTGGAGATTCCCCCCCCCCTCTCCGTTTATGTTCTTACTAAGTTTATATAATTAAACAAATACAGCAAACTACAAAGTTATGATAGTACTTTTCGAGTTATTAAAATATCCACGGTCTGAGTTTAATGGGATACGGTAAAAAAAACACCGGGCAGAACCCCCTAGGGGGTTTTGACCTAGGTCAGAACCCCCCTAGGTCAAAAACCCCCCTAAGTCAGAACCCCCTCTGGTCAAAACCCCCCATTTTTATATTATATAATATTAAAATCATTTCAAAATTATGTTTTTGTGGTTTGTGAATTATTGAAATAAAAAGTTAAACCATAATGTTAGTCCCGAAATGACCTAGTTTGTATCGAGTGGAGATTAACCCCCCCTCCTCTCTCTCTCTCTCTCTCTCTCTCTCTCTTCGAGATGACAATTTAGAGTAAAATTCAGAAAAAAATAAACGCAAGAAATGGTAACTGAGGACAGATGGGTGTCACTTTCGTCTATGACTTTCTTCGACTTCACGTTGTGGGATCAATTATTTCAATCATCAATTAACTGACTTTGGAACACCGTTTATGCTCTTACTAAGTTTATATAATTAAACAAATACAGCAAACTACAAAGTTATGATAGTACTTTTCAAGTTATTAAAATATCCACGGTTTGAGTTTAATGGGATACTTTTAAAAAAAAACACCGGGCAGAACCCCCTAGGGGGTTTTGACCTAGGTCAGAACCCCCCTAGGTCAACCCCCCCCCCCCCTAAGTCAGAACCCCCTCTGGTCAAACCCCCCCATTTTTATATTATATAATATTAAAATCATTTCAAAATTATGTTTTTGTGGTTTGTGAAGGGAAGTACACAACAAAATCAATTATTTTTATATTTTATTTGCAATTATATGGGTGACATTTTTTCCATCGGATGGTGTGCCCAATACCTTTTATGGTTTGCACACAAGTTGTAAAGTCTTTCTTGTAGATCTTCTGTTGTTTTTTGGTGGTTGTCCGCGTGAGTATTGCAGGAGTGCATTCTTGACATTGCTGTGATCCAGATGGAGATATTCGAGAGGCCGCCAGATTAAGGGGTCTGATATTCCCAGCAGGGCACTAAACGCCCTGTTCCAAGACTCACATAGATTGTTAGTGCGAGACCCACCACCAAGTGTTGTCGGATGAACGTTCCCGAGTTCTGCTGGGAATAGAGGGGGGGGGGGTATAGGAGATTTTAATTTGTAGCGCTATGTCTTCAGTTGAGATTGATCAGATAATTGCTTTTCACTTGAAAGATTACAATAAATGAGGCTATGTTATTCCTAGTAAAAAGCAGATTATGTTATGTTAATGTGTGGTCAATTGTCTCAGTTGGTCATCATATTTTTTTTTTAAATAATATTTTATTTTTCAAATAATATTTTATTTTTCAAATAATATTTTATTTTTCAAATATTTCTTTTTAAATAATAATAAATAAAGGGAATAAATTAATAAAAAAAATAAATAAATAAAAAGGGGGGGTTTTGTCCGTTTTTAATTTAAGTCCAAGGGGTTATGACCTAGGGGGTTTTGACCAAGGGGGTTTTGACCGGAGGGGGTTTTGACACGGACCCATATACCCGAGTTTAATATCCTTTCTAGCTCAGACCAGAACGGCTTAAACGTGGCAAGAGCCACATACTTCTTGATAGTTCTACATAAGGTTCGCGCTAGGATGATGTTTTTACCCTAACCTCTAAGCCGAGGGGGCTATGGGTATGTTCCCCTTGAGCTCCGAATAATGTCTTCCCTACGGTCTCAGCATGATATCTGAAGATTAAACAAACCCGCTCTTACGTATATAGAATAGTATAATGCGTCATCTATTAGGGCGGGACAATTACCATTTTTGGGTAAGTGTTTCGTATAGGCAACGTTTTACGTCAGCACTATTCTAGTTAATTGTACTAATCCGTGCACGAGATGACTGGACTATAGAACCCTACTTCCAGCAATGGATACTGACATAACTGTCGGTGAGTTATTCTAAGATAGTAATAGAATAATGCAAGCCACTTCATTACCCTAGTTTTCGTCACACATCATGTAGGTAAAGATTTCTATATTAAACAGAACACGTTTCTTAATACTAAAATAAACCCTATAGTATTATACATGTACTGAACAATCTGATTAAAACGCAGATCGTATTTCGTTTCGTTTGATCTATAGTTTATAATTTCATTTTATTATTATTCACTACATTATATATAGGACCTAGAAAGATCAAATAACACACTATTTATGGATATCTTATTGTTATGGTTTATTTCATTGCGACGTTTCGACAAGATTTCACAAGTCGTTATCAAGCATATATCAACACAAATAAAATATGCAGTTGATTTCACGACTATAGAAATCTATAGAAAACTACACTGGTAATCTATGACTTTTTGCTAAGGATATACTTCGACTAATGCCATCGGTTAACAGATAGCGGAACCCAACACCTTCGTTAAATATAACAGCTGAGATGTTAAAGAGAACAACAATATGAATTAACATCGAAAATCATAATTTGTACGATGGGCGAAAATTTGTATGGTTGTGCTTACCCGTACAGCCTGTTCTGGGTCTGTATCACAACAGGCCTGTGACTGTTTACTTGGGTTTATAGAACATGTACTTTTATAATTAATTACTGTACTTACAATATTCGTGTGTTAATGTGTATGGCGTGTCTTCTTAATGGTTTTGTAATCTGCTTACAAAATAACGATCTGGATGGTGTGTCCCAACACCCTTGCAACACCCTAGACTCGCTCCTGCATGTACATCACTATTGTTTTACATGTACACCATGTTAACAGTTACATATAAAGACAAAATAATTTTAGTTGTCATACTTATAGCTGACTTTTTCCAATAATCATCATTATTATTTTTAGTTTTAGGTGTTCGAAGATGAAAAATTATATTATACAACCAGAAACTATATAATCTGAGACATAGATAAAAAAAATATCACGGTTGTTAGATCTACCCAGCGGGTTCCGCGTGTTACTTACACTATGGAAACGGTAAGCTATCTTCCAATATTACATTATTTACTTGAACGTTGATTTTTAGATGTTCGTCATGGACGGATTGTTTATGACTCAAGACACAAGAACTACGTGAAACCCCCAAACGAGAATTAAGCATATAATTTCTCGTGTACAACAACCGTCACTTCTTCAGAATCTAATGCAGGGGGCAACTATAACCGTATTTCTTACTAAGTGTGAAAAAGTAAAACATTTGAAAAAGCGACTATATCAGACATGTCAATACGGTAATAGCTGGAAATAATTATTTAGATAATTATAATTTATATGATTACAAGGAAATGAAATGGGGTTTAAGGGTCTAGTTTTATACACCAACCTACCTGATGAAGACAAAGAAAATAGCTTTGATTGAGTGTCTTAGTTTAGACTTCGACAGAAAATTAAACGAAATTAAAGAATATTGATTGAAAGCAATTGAAAGTAATGTGAACTTCATATGACCATAACTTGGTAATACTGCCTTGTATCGTGTGTGATCTTAAATCTAAAAATGAATTGGGGTTCAACGCCCTATTGTTCTGCTCCGAACTTGGCTAATGAAGACGGGCATACGCCATACAATAATAGGAATTGAAGTGTAGTGTTGCAAATTTTAATTGGCATTTTAAATTTAGGGATTAGAGTGTAGCGTTTGAAATGTAGGCATTAAAGTCTGGTCTTTGAAATTTAGGAATTAAAGTTTAGCTTTTGAAATTTAGGAATTAAAGTCTAGCGTTTGAAATTAATTTCACCCAAAACACGTCAGATTATACTTTTATGCCTGTTGAACCGAAACCATGAACATAAAACCTAGATTTTCAAACATTTTTATTATTTTTGTTAATATTATTCAGTTACTGCTAAATACTTACACTGGCTTCATCATGGGCGTACAATTTTGAAAGAAGACCGGCTGCCATACTATACAAATCAAACACATAACATTCAAAGAAGTCAACAATTTTTGAACCCTTATAGAGGTTTAACAAATTTTAAAATTTTGTCACTGAGTTCAAAAGTAATCGAAAGATTTTGACATTGCTCATTCTAAGATATATTTAGTGAAAATTCTGTTATTAGATTTACTTCCGTTCGGTTAGTCTAAAGTGTGCGGAAACGAAGTACTTGACGATGCGCTACTAATACTCAGATTAAAAGGATGCGATTTTTCTGAACACACGACTCTACCACAGATACATGGGGACAGGAACGCCCTTATTGTGCACCTATGTGATTTTTCAAATTTTTGATTTCTTCATATTTTTCATATGTTTCATGATTTCTTCATATTTTTCATGCTCCGGTTTTCTCCTACTGCTAAAGACCCCTACGCGCAAGCGAATTATTGAAATAAAATTAAACCATATGTTAGTCCCAAAATGACCTAGTTTGTGTCGAGTGGACGTTAAACCCCATTTCTCTCTCTCTCTCTATATATTTATTTTTTCATGATTTCTTCATATTTTTCAAATTATGTTTCATATAACATTTACTATCAAACATGTTCGTATTAAAAAAAAAATACGCTCTGATGTTAATTAAAGAGAAAGGTAAGACGCTTTTCTCTTGACATTTTTTTGTCCTTGAGGTACCCCTGTCGCTATTTACTACTTCAAAATCATGAATAAAATTGTCTTGCCTTTCAAATCAGCTACTCGGCACATCTATTAAAGGGGAAATTTAATGTAACTCACTTCACGTTTTCATGCCCGGGTACATTGAGATTTAAAAAAAAACCATTTATATTTATGTCTTTGATAAAATTAAGCTTATTATTTGTACAATTTGTATTATACGACTTCCTTTCTATATAACGAGGTATTTTTATTTTAAATGATGTGAAGAAACTGTTAGATGTAGAATTATAAACATATGTTTGTCCCGGTCTATTTTGTCACTTTTCTTATCTCGTGGAAGCCAGTTCATATGAATAGCCAGTTTCTAACCCATATCCGCTCATACTATCAAAGTCATCCGTGTAATTGTTACCGCTCCTTACCACATTCCTTTGTTTACGTCATTCCCGGAATCTACAAATCGTGATAACGGGTCAACGTAAACAAATACCCATGTGTTAAAATTATATTAAGGGTTTGTTTAATAAATTATGCCACATTGCCTTTTAATAAGGGTATATTTAAAGTTGGTGGACGGCGACATTGTCTTGTCTACAATATCACCCTTACTGGAAGTGGATGTAAACTCTCAGAAATGTACGAACGGCGACATTGTCCTTTGTAAAAAGTATCTTTATATTATGTCACACACTTAAGGTTGGTGGACAACGACATTGTCCTTTAAATGTATAGCCTATACATAAAACCAAATGACTTTATTAGTATAGCACCGGAACTTCTTCCGGTGGCAATTTCTCTATCATGGTTAGTGATGCCGTCTCATGGCTATTATATTAGTATTGCACCGGAGTATCTTCAGGTGATCATTTCTCTATCATAATTACTGCTGCTCTCCAATGGTGAACCAAACTGTACATTGAAAGTGTTCCGTCTTCATTAGCCCAGGTTAGGAGCAGAATAGTAGGACGTTAAACCCCAGTTCATTTCATTTATTTGAAAGTGTTACTTTTTTTCAAATTTCTTTTTATTTGAATGTGTGTTTTGTATTGGGGATTGGTTGGAACAAAATAGGCTTGTTAGAATATTGTAGTCCTTGATAATTTTCTGGCATGCGTTCTTCGAAAGTTTGTGAAGTAGTTACTTTCGGTCTTATAAATCTTCAGAAGTTTCACACTTACAGACGGAGGTCTTTCTTGTGGCTTCAAATTTTATAATAACTAGTGTTTAGACATTTATTCACGCAGGAAGGCTATAATCAACTCGCTAGGGCATCAGCTGGCCGAGATATAAATGGACTTAGTCTCGATTTCCAAGAACCATTGTTACGATGATTGACAATCTGAATGAAATTTTCAATATTCATTTTTCTTTATCTATTTTAGAACTATTATAGCAAGAACGGCCGGATTTTATATATATCCTACATAATGCATCTTTAACTAGGCATATTTGGAGGAGACGTTAGATTCTGGCCTTGCTTGACATAATACTAGGAATTGTTCTACTCTCCAAGCATCTTCCAGATTCCAATAGCATCAAATCAATTTAAAACAGATAGGACAGAATTTATTAAGTCTAAAAATTAAAATATCACTAGTGTTCAGCCACTTGAACTAAATCACCATTCGGTGAATATAAAGATAATATTCGAATAGTTGCTATAAAAAACGAGAACACCAAACTTCAGATGAATGTGTATTATTTCTCAGCCATATATAATACCATAACCACATACAAGTTCAGACATCTTAAAGATTCTTATTTAAAAAGTGTAACATTCATATACTGCAGTCTCTGGTTTTAGGCTGTTTCTTTTGTCTGTCACAATAATAAAGCGGGGTTTTTTGGTCAATAGTGCCCAAAGTACTGATACAATCACAAGCGAGGCCCATGATACTATAATGGTGTGATAATCTGCCAATCGCTAAGATAATTAATGTTTCTTAAATTAACCACTTTAAGTAACCTGCCATCACTTTTCGACCCGGCATTTGGTGACGACGTTAATCCAATCTTATGTTTTTGTTGATTTATTATATTGTTTAATCCTTTATGCATTGTTCATCTATCGACGTGTCAGTTTTAATTACAACATTTACTTTTATCCTATTATCTGATTTTCCTTAAATAGAACACAATTGTACATTTATGTCTACGATATCACCTTAGGTGAAAGTGGACGTAAAACTCTAGGAACGAACGAACATTGATGGCAGTCACTATAGTTAGGATCCCTTACTAAGTGCAGTAACTGACCTGTCAGTACTCACCTCTAAAATACTAAATATACTAACCGGCATAAAACAATATTATAGGTAGATCTATAAATAATACTTATCACAACCAAAACGGCTGCGTATATTAATGGAGATATTTCAAAATAAAACACTTTGCATTTTAAAATGCACGCAGCCATATTAACAAGTTTTTTTTTTCACTTTTGTATGAAAACAATTAATTTTAGGACACAATATTTAGAAATTAACATACTTTTCCTTATCGGCCACTTTTCCCAATACTTTGGGCGCTATTGACAAGGAAATGCTTTTGTCAGTATTTTTTTTTTTTTAAATTAGTTCAGATATCGGATGATGTCTTGAATATGCATATCTATAACATTTCCTTTTCCAGTTACTTTTCTCAATACTTTGGGTACTATTTAATGAAAACACCGCTCATGTTGGTGCAAATATAATAGGACCGTTTCCATGTAAGCGTTTCGCACACAGAAAACAAAATTTGCTCGGTAAACGACTTTTAACATTTTGTTCCGGGTCCTACCTACACGCGTGGACAACCGGATGTTTATGTTCAGCTTCTACTAAGACATCAAACGTGCTTGTTGCTGTATGGTCAGCTTGAAAATGGCAGATTTTTTGGACATGGTATGTGTTATTGTTATTTCAAAACGGCGTCGATTAAACATAAACAATGCCGACCTCCATGCTTTAAAGAGAAATCCTTTCTTATCATGCCATTTACGTGGGATTCCCATAACTATTCTGTGATATTTTCAGTACATACGGACACAGAAAATTCTCACACGGCAATGCCGGCGTTTGTCTGTTGGCGAAAACGCGTATGGAAAGCGGCCCTTAATTCTCAAAACGTCTTCAGTGGAAAATACATTAAGTCTCGTAATTACCCTAATATCTGTGACGACTTTGCCTGAAATTGTGGTCGCCCATACGCCAGTGTGCACATGTACATCTTTTTTATGTCATATACCCGGCTGATGAACATAGAAAATATGCCTTAAAACATTTCGTTCTTTTTATAAATGATTTAGGTTGTGGTATATTTTATTTATGTCGGGTTGTTGAGTATTAAATCTGTCTAAAAAGTCGAGATTGATATAGGATACAGAATGTTGAACCGGAAGGATAAAGTGTATAATGCTATTATATACGTGTGTTTAGTAAAGATGATATTATGACTGTATGATGTAAATACTTGACACGGTTTATGCACACAGTATTATCGTCTAGGTTTATTTGTTTAGGTTGCGTTGTATTTAAAGCTTAATTTGGGTTATTATCCCCTCCTAATGTTATATAGAACCACTTTTGAGCTTTTGCAATAATGGTAAAAATAAGTACATTCTGTCTTTTTGGGTGGAAGCAGACTCCAACACCCAGAATTTGTAATTTCAATATTTCTTATTTAATTCTTTTATTTCAGAAAAGCAAGAATTATATACTAAACGCCGCGGGTTCAAATCCAGCACCAGCGTTGTATAAACAAAAAGACCAAAACCAACGGTTAAAACCACCCCCGGGGGATGATGTTCCTCCGCCACTCCCATCTAGGAGAGGAAGTAACGTGGAGTTACCTCCTTCTAAACCACAGACTTCTTTATTGGAGGTGCCACCACCCCTACCTACACGAAAACACAGTACACATAATCAACCAAATTTTAGACATGCTACAGACACACGAAAGCAAGGAGAAAACCCACCCCCGTTACCAACGAGAAACAGGTCGTCATGGAAACCATCAAATGATGGTATGTAATATAAATACAATTTTTTTTCTGTTATCATGATTAGAAGTGGCGCATTGCATCTCTTTGATAATAATATAAGGCAGTAGCCTACTCATTATTTTTAGCGATTTATAATTTCTACACATCCTTTTTTAGAGAGGGGGGTTGGATGGCTGAATGGTTGAATGGTTAGCACGTGCGCTCTGCATCATAAAGTCTGTCATTGAGTCAACTGGCGTGGTTTCGATTTTCAGGTTGTATGTTACAAGGAGTAAGGTCGCCTGTCAATACCTCGTGGGTTTTCTCTGGGCCCTCTGGTTTCCTCTCATTGCTAAAGACCCCTACGCGCAAGCGAATTATGGAAATACAATTGAACCATATGTTAGTCCCGAAATGACCTAGGTTGTGTCGAGTGGATGTTAAACCCCATTTCTCTCTCTCTCTCTCTCTCTCTCTCTCTTTCTCTCTCTCTCTCCCTCTCTCTCCTTTTTAGCGAATGTTAAAAAATATATCTCAATGAATCCTACTAGGAAAACCGCCGAAATTAAAACAGACTCAAAAGTCTCATTTACAGTTTATGTGCTTTATCAGATATTATGTTTCTGTTTAATAATTTTACAATGTAACAACATGCTAATTATGTCTATAAACATATCTTTACAAGAATTAGATGGGGGTACAAATATTGTATGGGGCATTTAAATTCGTATGTAAACAAATTTGCGCATGATATGCGAAGAGTTGAATTTATAATTATTTTAATTCTTATACATGTACAAAAGATGATTTCAAATCCGTACAGAATAATGGGCCTGCGCTCCCAAAAGTTCTGTTTGCTTTTATTGTCAAGCAATAGGGGAAACCTCAGCACAATACTGACCCGGGTAATGTTTTCTTGAATGGTTGCTGTTGATGGCCTTCCAGGACGCGATTTATCGTCAAGGCTTTCTCTGCCACGCTTTAATTTAACAGCCATATGGAAAAGGAATGGACATCGTCCCCTAAAGCGGAGACCATGTCGGCTGTATCTGTGTTGCAGGTTCTTGATGACTGTCCTATAGCCAGTTTTGTCCATTTCTGGTGATTTCAATTTAGGGCAGTTTTGTCCATTTCTTGTGATTTCAATGGGTAGGTTCACAAGATGGTCGAGTATACGAAGACAATAATGACACTACAGTTGCAGCTCTTATGTTGGTAGCAAAAGTTTGTTTCAACCCAACTGATCTATCTAAAGTGGAGACCATGTCGTCAAATCACCGGCCTTCGCTTCCCCTAAACCTGTGTGAACCAGTTCATATTTACGTGCACGTCCCATCCGAAAAACTATTATACGTTGTCCCTTGCCAGACCCTCCACCACTGAACTTTCTCGGCCGAAACCGGGATCGAACACAGGACCTCAAGATAAGCTAGCCAATGTCTTACTCGCTGAGTCACCACGACTTCCCGGACAGTAAATAGATTTGGTAAATTTTTAATGAATCAATCAATCACTCTCATTTTCCATATCTTTCAAATTCAACTTTCCATTTTTTGACCCGAAAGGGCCAAGGAGGTGTGCTTTATTCCCCAGAATGTATCGGCCGTACTCAACCCCAAACGACCACCACCATAGGCCCCTGATACCATACAGTTTTATTAGTAAAATAATGTGTATTATCTGAACGCCAAAGCCAAAAATAACGTCAGATGTTAATGTGGTACAAAATAGAAATCAAACGAAACGAAATGTTAATATTATTTTAATTAAACCAAGACACGTATTACTAATGTTCATTTTGATTTTTAGTGTTTGAAGAAAGATTTAAATTCCATAAACTTAGTGAATTACCCGAGCCGACTCCTATCACTCTCCTGAAGAAACAGTATCCCTCTGCTCATACCAAGTCAAGTCGTAAGTTCGTTTCTATCATAGCCACAATTTCTCGAGCCTGCACATTTTATCTTCTGTCGTCATTTAATTCAGAAAGCGACTGAAAGATTTAAAGAATTTTAAATTTGAACTCACCATAAAAAGCTATATAATGGGAAGAGATTGTGGTAACTACGGTAGTAGTCGTCTCGGATTACACGACCATGGCATTATATTCATCATGATGAATTTGAAATTATAATATTATATTTTCTATTTCATGGATAAGACTTCCGCAATGTTTCCGATCCTGGCACTTATATGTAGTGCTATGACAAACTTTATAACTTATCTATTTTGGTAGAGTATGTTCATTAAAGCCTCATTGTGTTATTTTAGTGCACTATATATCGCTTGCAAAATACAATATGGTGAAAGATTATTCTCTAATGATTATCGGTCCATTAAGGCTTCAATTCCGTTTACTGTGTACAAATATATGTTGAATTGAAATCCGCTCGCTGTGTTAAAAGCCCGTCGTCGTTTTTTTGTGGACGAACATCATCGATGGACCTGTTTTAAATCCTATTAAATCGAAGCCATGGATTAAGCCCTGAAAATTTTGATATTTTAGCCTAAATTACAAATGACGCATCGTTACTTTAATATCGGGATTATTTGGTCAAGCGGTCTGTCTAACGTGTGCGCTTTAGATCATATAAGGTACAAATATCGCCGACTTTAAACCAAAATATACCACATCTTACTTCTGAAATGGTTTAATTTGTTGTTATTCATGTGTTTTTGTATCATTATTTTTGCAGCTAAACAAAAACCGCCCCCGCCGCCAGATGATTCGACAGAAAAAATGAGACGTATTTCATCAGATAACACGGAAGAAAATGATTATATGTAGGATAAAGGATTTTTTTCTTTTCTAAAATTAAATTGATTGTTAGTGAACGCGTAGCACATCCAGTTGTATCCAAGTTAATATTTAATTCTCTTGGTTTTAATTTAATGACTATTCGAAATCAATCTTTCAGAAAGTAAGACATTCTTGGACTTTTCGTTCCGTCATTTTGTTGACGTTTCTACCAGAAATTGTTACTGTAGGATGTGAATGTGATGTGACTGACTAGCAATCTGCGAAAAAACAATTCCGTGACAATCGAGGGTTCTCGACCATTACGGCCACTTTAATGAAGACCCCGGCTTTTGTGTTGGTTCGTCCGTGATGGTACAACTTCAATACTATTGAAAGATTTAAATAATTTCATTGTCTTTAGCTGGCGATGGCTGTGAAATCCGTTTTGTGACATTCAGGAATTCTTGGTCATCTGTCTTTATCATAATAATAAATGTTTATTAATAAGGCACAAGAATCCATAAATCTTGCTCAACAAATAAACAATTTCTTTTAAACCTAACCGAAACAGCTATTTCTTTAGGTCATATTTGAATGGATTTGCTGTAGAATTGAATAGAAGTTCATCTGATGTTCTCTACCCATTTTTTTTTATTCGAATCTAACGAATGACGCGGATTGATACGAATGTTGTTTAGGGTGTCTAATCGTCGGAATATTAAAATGTGGTATGTTATAGCAGTATACACAATCGTGAGGTAATGGGGTTATGATTAAAACTAAATAATTGGGATAATCTTGTTACACCAACGGATATATACATCAAGACTGTGATGCTGTGTATTATCAAACTAGCAGAATGGGACAAGGAGCAGGTCGGATACAGAAGGAAATGAAACTGGTGTGAAGTTTTATGGCCTATATAGATAATAAACTTAATTGATCGAGGTTTATCCTTTCCTAAAGACCAGAGAGAAGGGGCAAAATAAGAATTTCTTTGCAAGTTTCCATTATGATTAACATTATGGCGTGATCTGCAGTAATAACAACAGATTTAAGGACTTATTGTGTAAGGCATACCAAATCAACTAACCCAATGGACAGTAAAACCAGTAGACACTCTGCTGTTTAAATTTATTTTATTTTACTTTACATGGTAAATGTTTTTTTTAAACAAATGTAATTGAAGTGAATATGACTATTGTACACCTATGCTAGATTAAGCGGTGGGATGGAGTGGGGGGGGGGGGGGGTTATAGGAATATCCATTAGGATGGCATAACATTTACACTCTTAAGAGTTTATAAAATTATTTATTAGTTATTATTATATGTAGCTTTTTTGTTAATCCGCTGAGAGGGATTGTTTATTTATTTTACGCTTTGCTGGACAGTATAGGCTGGATTATAATAATGTGAATGCAATTTTCTTTTAATTGATTGATTGAGATTATTATTACTGGAGATTATTGACTGTAACATTAGAAAGCGAGTGTGGTAATTTGTACAATACTGTAGAAATTATTGTACTAAATACCAGACCAATAGCAAAATAAAGAATCGGAAGTTCCACAAGTTAATCCGCATTCTCGTCAAACATAACACCCTTCAAAATAATAAACTATTGGTTATACGTCGTAGTTAGTTGAAAGGCTAAAACCTTTCATTCATAATATGACAATGGTAATGGCGGAGAAGTTATCTAATTAGATTCGAACATCAAAGAAGTCACCCAATCCTAAGTTAAGAAAAGGTTTAAGTAGATAGCTTGCGGAATAATTTTAATACCCATTTATGTTACCAACGCCCTGCAGGTCGCATTAATTGCATGGCGCATTAATTTCTTTTCTTATGTGTCATTGTTATTTAACGAACTTACTGGACTTACAATACATTATCACGGTCACCAAGAATATGAATTAAGTTTGGAAAACTCATTAATTAAAGGAGCTAAATCGCTAATATTTGGGATCTAGAAATTGACCCAAATGGGTCGCAACGCATATAATAATGTAATCTGGTTGTATATAAACTGATTTACATTCAATTGTTTCCGTTTTTACTCTAATTTCAAATCAGTTATATCCAGCGAAATACGGGATGTGTCTCAACCCTATAGCAATTTCTAGCGTCTGGTTATTCCAGTCTATTGAGCAAGCTCTCCAGTTGAATAGTGCTAGCCTCGTTCTTTCTGGTCACTTGTTGCAAATGACGCTAAAACGCACTAGGGTACACGATTCGTGTACCAATGGTAAAATGTTTATTTTGTCTTAAATATTGGATATCAGAAGCCTGCCTTTTCCTGGTAAGATCACAACATCAAAGTCGATTTCAATTGACAAATAATTCGTATTTTCAACATGTAAGACTTTGGATGATATTGAGTTAGAGACTTAGCTACTTTAAAATAATCACTGACTCATCGTATTATTTAAAACAGGCCCCAAACACGTAAAATGAATTTAATTTTAAATGGCAGTACAAGACTATGTATATATATATATAGTTGTTCTTTTATTTTCAGATTTCGAATATAGTCTAATTTGAACATGTTCAATGAAATAATATGGGGTTTAACATTTTACTTATCTGTACCAAACGCATTATAATATATGAATACAACATTTTATATTAGTACAAAGTGCTGCTAAGACAAGCCTATGGACAAGACAGACTACACAGAAATAATCAAGTCGCGGGGACAGTCGCATTCGTCCACTGCGTTATATACAGTTCCAGTCCGATAATATTTAATGCATAAAAAATATTTACAAGAAAACAGGTCTATGTGAGATGGGCGAGGGACGAATGACGAGCTTTGCGACATGGTTTTGAGTTTTTGCGCTCCCTTGAGTTTTTGTGCGTTATCTTTCAACCGGAAGAATTTGTTTTTGATATGCAGGTATTTAGTGGGAATGCTCAATTTGGGATGAGTTTACCTATCCAATCCATATTATTACTAGGACCCGTGTCACCCAATACAGAATAAGGGTATATGACAATTTTATAACCTTCTTCTTCTTCCTTGGGGCTTAACATTCGCTTCCACCTAGAGTGATAACCTCTAGCTTTTTATGCTCCATGTAGGGAGTGGTCATCTGTATTATGTTTTGGCATCCTACAGTCTCGCACAGAGAGAGAGAGAGAGAGAGAGAGGCGGGTACCCATTTGTGTTCTTTGCGGGCACGCCAACGTGTAGCATACACGGGACCTTGATTTCTTTGTTACATCTGAACAAGGTATTGACGCTGTCCTCGCCAAACCCACCGTATTGCACCACCGGCGAGAGGAAACCAAGCTGTAAATTCCCGGGGAACTGTCTCTTAAGCACACCCCAATCCCTGCGTGACAGCCGTCAATACGAGAGTGCGATCAACAGAAGACGGCGAAGAAGATAAATTAACGACAGACTTGATCTATTCAAAATGCCTACGCATGTTAAATGAAATAAAAATTAATGTAATAAAATTTTGAATGTACAGAAAGGTTTATCATTTTTAAAGGGAATAACATTCTGGTGATTCGAAGTTCTATGTTCGAAGCTACATTATAATAATACTTCCGGTTTTCGAAGTTACAATATTATTCCGGTTTTGAGAAAACTGGGTATTCCGATACTCTGGGTAATCCGACATATTGTAACGATCCTGTACGATGTCGGATGTGACAGAGTGCACTGTATAAGAAAATAAACTCTGAATTTGGTGTTTTACATTTTAATAACTATGAAATATGAATCTATATAACAGTGTAACATAAATAACCCAGATAAAACCACACGCTTCCATTACCACGTGGTTTATACAGCTGGACGTCTACTTTCGGTTTCAACTTCCGACGGCCCCGGCGACTGAATAATGCAAACAAAATTTGTTGATCTGTGTTCATTAAACCTCGACTGATGAAATACATCACTGTTCGACGATATTGTTCTTCAAATTTCAATACCACCTCTCTTCTTCCGAAGAAAAACCCTCCGCCAATCCAAACCATATTTCTGCGAAACACCCTGTCCATAGTGGGTTCGGGGTTCGGTTTCGGAAAGACTTGATTCATCGCAACCTTTCTTGGGTTGAAATTTCGAGGGATCTTTAGAATAAATTTCTTATGCGTGTTTACGATGTCCCGAAAGTAACCTACATCCAACCATGCGTAGTGTTTCGTCTGAAAGTAGTCCTGTCTAACTGCGTCCGCCACAACCGCGAATTTTGAGTGCTGGGCGGATGAATATCCAGGAACAATTGTGTTTGGATGAAATTTCGGATATCTGGGTTTTCTGAAGATCCGACCAATCTCTTTCAATATTTGGTAACTCCAGAACCTGTTGCGATCTGTGAAAACAATCCGAGTGATATTTTTCTGATTTTTCCGGAACTTTTTCATTCTTGATATAAATCGTTTACAGTCGGAATAAACAACCAATGGATGCATTAGAAATTTGAATGACGAGGCCCAATCAAAATATGTGTCTGTAGAGAAGTAGAGTGATTTCCCCTTCTTGAATCGTCCCAGATCGAAGTAGGCTGTGACAATGGTCATAGTAACATGATGTTTTCCTGCAGTGTAAGTTTTACGAGGTTTATTAACGTCGACTGTGTAAGATGGCGCTGTTGATTTAGCATCCCCTAGATCAAAGATATCGACCTGGAAAAAAACAACCCTTGATTATTCACCCATTTTATTAAAGATACATTATGGGAGATTTTTATAGAGAGTTGGCCATTCTTGCTATAACAGTTCAAAAGTAGATGATGAAAGAAGAATATATTGAAAATTTCAGTCAAATTACTTTATTCTGAACATAGTTATCATCGTTGTAATATTTGACTAAAAATGGTAGCGAAATGCGTCTTCACCTTGGCCGACCGTTTGATTGACAGGCGTTAACTCCACCTACATATCTCGATTATCAAGTAAAGTTTTCAATGGCATACGGAAACACTTTACAGCGGTCTCGCTAAGTACACTCTATCATTTAGCCTCGATCTAACTGACGTATTTTCACCAGGTTGCCCCATACTTGATTTAATCAATTAGTGAAATCCTATTTAAATCCGAGCTGTAGTCGAGCCATCCGTGGGTCTACAGAGTTGATTTTGGGCTTGTTGTTTAAATAAAGATCTAATTTATAATTTCTATAACATCTGAAGCCTAAATTAAGACTTGCAATAATCAGATTTAGCTCTCGCATAATGCATGTTTAAGTTAAATATTTACTTGACCTAATACTGGTGGAAGCCACGGCGCTTGGTGAAAATCAGCTGGGATAGGAAGTTGATCATACTCATGTACAAATGGATTGAACTCGCCATTGTAACCGTGATGTGCTACCCATGATTAACAGTGCAAGGTTTAAGACCACGCTACCATCAATAACCCACACAGTACCGTGGTGGGGCTGTCCGAGCAAAGGGGAGGGGGTGGATTTTGTAACCAAACATCTGTTGGTCGGAAGATCGTGAGCAAACCAGTCGGTGGTTGGAAGCTTTGCGTGCTTCTAAGCAGGTCTAGATTTCTTTTGCGATTTTGAACACGTTTTCTGTTAAAATTCTTTAAGATCCTATCCCTAGCTATCAGTATAACGTAGATGTCTCCTATGGGGTCTATAGCGCGAACTAAAGTTAAATGAAATGGGGTTTAACGTACTACCTATCTGCACCAATCGGGCCGCCATGCTGTGAGGGATATGTCCGCCTGCTCTTCATCGAATTTCAACTATACAGGATCTCGGGTTTTCTTCCCATCCGAAAGACTGGAAACTTTTCTTTGGCGAAATAGACAGTAATAGACATCTCAATGGCGTAACTTACTAACGTGACCTGCACATTCGAGCTAGTGAAAAAAGACTATTTTTCTTGGCAATGATTTGCAATAGCAACGGTATTGACCAGATCTGGACGGCAAATCCCACCACTACGCTAAAGTGCACCCCGTCGTCTGGCATGATAAAGTGAGAACTTAAAAACGGAAAGAAATTAAAACTTAACTGTAGCATTAATAATGTACGCAATGACTATAGTCTAGTCGACTAGATACAGATGAAATGGGGTTTAACGTCCTATACTGTTTGCACCGACTAAGCTAATGAAGATGGCATGTATACAGATACACAGTGAGCTATGAGGGAATGTTACCCGGACAATGGCACTACGGCCTACTCTTATTTTTCCGTGTACGCCAATATATACACGGGATCTCGGTTTTAGGTCCCATCTGAACGACTAGACACTGTTCCCTGTCAAGCCCTCCGTTCTACACCACTGACACGGGTAAACCACGCCAGAAAATACCGAGGAACACCGGGAGCGAACCGGAGACCTTCTGGTTAGCGGTGACCGCGGTTCCCACGACTAAATATAAATACTGGCAATTTTTAAATGAGTGAAAACGAGACTCTAACATACCAGTCGATTTGGATCTATCCACTGCGATATGTTCACCTGAAACATACAGAAAAACACAATGTGATTAATGCAACTGTATCCTTTCTACCGAGAAAAGAAAAACAAATAATTTTGTACAGTATCATATTGAAACTAGTCTCAAAAGTAACAAATTGAGAATATTATCGATAATCTAAGCATTGGTCTGCTTACAGTTAGGTACTTTGCGCGAGACTTTTGCTGATCTTCTGGAAATGAACTACAAAATTTATACGACTCGAAATAAGAACTGAAGGAATCACCGTCTCCCCAATAATAGCCAGATTGTTGTTGTTGTTCTTAGTGTTTAACGTCCGCTTCCGCCGAAGGTGATATCACAGACAGATTTTTTTATTTTGGTCTAATATAAGTAGGCCTACCATCGATCCTAAAGGTCAAACAAATTTAAAGGGATGACCTAGCTGTAAAAAGAATGATTCGACCGAACGTGGGGACATAGTATGTTATACACAGCCGTGGAAGCTGAAGTTTTGATTTTGTTTTGTTTTTTTGCTCCAATCTGTTTTGCTCAACATATCACTATTACCATAACTAAAGTAATCATTAGCAGCAGTCGAATACAAAGATTCTATTTTTTTTTAATACGACAATACATACTTCCCAATTAAATAAGTTGTATCAAAGATTAGGCACATTTTGTATCTGGCAAAGAAACGACAGAAAAGACAACTTACTACTGGTAAAAGGCCTAAAAATGGATCAAAAGAAAAACTTCCTTCCTGTGACATTCTCATGGACGAGATATCCCATTCTTCAACCGGGCTGGATAAAAACGTCACACATGTCATAAAGATTAACCAAACGAATACTATGATATAGTTTTTGTTTTGAACAAACGTTGTACCTGAAAAGTACAAACAGTAATATATCTTCTTGTCGACACTTTATACTTCTACTTCCCGTTTTCTTTAAATGCATTGAACATGTGCAGACGCCACGCCCATGAGTTGTTAGTTACAGCCAAAATAGAGTCTGCTTCGACTATATCGAATATAGTCTGGACGAAACAGTGCTAACCAAAATTTGCCCGACAGTAGCCTTTCTACTTCTCGTCTTCTTCAAATGCACTAACAATGGCTAATCCATCCTTAGGATGCAGGTGCCTGATGATGGTACGGCCTAGACATTGTGGCGTCAAAAATTGAATTTGGAATGTAGAATTGAAATGAAATGGGGTTTAACGTCTTACTGTTCTGCTTCGACTGGGCTAATGAAGACGGGGAATCGAACTGAAAACGAAAGATACTGAAAATGTGAATGCTTGTTTAATATGATACGAAAAAATCATGAAAGCAATATTGTGCACTATTCTGATAATATTCCGATTATGGCGTCGTGATACTTTTGATTTCTGGCCCAAAAGTGGCGCAAAAGTCATTGTAGCAGTGGCGCATGAGTATTGCTACTCACGTACTCATTATCACTGGGCCCCTGAGTCAATCCCAGTCAAGAAGCTAACGCCTTTGTCAGATCCGAGCTAGTCATTACAGCGTATAAGGTCTGCTTCGACTACAACGGGAGTCTGTGCAGAACAGTCTCATAACTTTGTACACTTGGGTGAGAGAAAAATCCCCTTAAAAGACGGGTTTTCCATTATGACCAATTCCACTAAACTTGACACAATTTTCGAAAACCCAGTTCTGTATCGCGTTCACAAGATTTTGCGAATCTGAACGGAAAAGGGGGCCATAACTCGGCGATTGTCATTTAGAAAATGATGTAACATAGTAAATGGCGTTCGATCGCGCAAGTTAGTTGGGGGGGGGGGGGGGGCTGAGGCTATTTGGCCGAAAATTTTCTTTGTCACCCGAATTTCCAGAATGTTTTAAATAACTAAAACGAGTTTTCCACAAAGCTGTGATGGTTGTTTATTTTTAATTAATTACACAATTATAGTACTCAAAACGTAATCCGTCAGCTATTTCATTTTACAATTATACAATTATATTTAAAAGTGGACGGTTCGCCGAATCTGGAGTCCCAGCTCGTACGGCCAAATCTATTTGTTAAGGCCAGCTCAAATTTTGTCATGGTCGTTGAGATGTAATACGGTTAAGGAACGTGATTGTTGGCGAGATTGTAGGTTAGGGTTAGAGTGAACATTGGGGCTAGGTCCAGGGTTAGGCTTTGGGTTGGGATTATCGCTAGCCCGGTTTACAACTCGTGACCTAAATGTATGACGAAAAATTGAGCTGGCCTTATAATTTAGCACTAACCCAACTCCTACGCCTATGAAGGCAATCCATAACTTGCACAAAAGATAAATGTTTATAGAGAGAAGAACAGACAATTCGGACTAACAATGAGTTCAGTAAGTACTACAAACCTTGGGTTGGTTGCATGCTGTTGCGACTGTCGACCGCACGACTTATGATAAATCAAATATATTACTTGACCAAAAGTGTCCTTTTTTTCTGTCAATATTCATTTCAACTGACAGCTAAATCTGTTGTTTACGTCGCCATTTTGTAATGTTTCGTCGGGATCACTCTAGTTCAGCTCTGAACGTAGGTCTCATTCACGTCGAGTGCAACGAGAACTTACGTTCAGAGCTGAACTAGGATAACTCCTGAGTTTTGGGAGAATAGCCTCGAGCAGACAAGTTATCTTATTTTCATTTTTTTTTATTTTCTTAGTGCACGCTCAGGGGTCTTTCCTGTGGGAGGAATCCGGAGTACCCCCGGAGAAAACCCACGAGGTTGAGAAGGTGCCCCCTATATCCACGCCACATACGCTCACACCAGGGATCGAAATCACAACCGCAAGCCAGAGGTGATCGGCCAACCAGAGGTCGAAGCGCGGCACTCTAGACCACTAGGTTATCCCAACTCCCCGAGTATAAGTTCAATGATAATAAATGAAATGAAATGGAGTTTAACGTCCTACTGTTCTGCTCCTAACCTGGGCTAATGAAGACGGGCATACGCCATACAGTGTGCTATGGGGGAAATTTTGCCCGGGCAGCGGCGCTACGGCCTACTCTTATATCGAATTCCAACTGCCAAAGGATCTTTTACATGCACGCCAATGTGTTCACGGGGCCTCGGTTTTTCGTCCCATCTGAACGACTAGACAGCTGTCCTTGTCAGGCCCTCCATATTATACACATTTGAAATCAGGGAAACATACTACAGATTAAATATAAATGAATTAGAATATGGTTATCTACCCTTATAAAAACGAACGCGAAACGACTGGATTGTAAACAGTTTTTTTGGTTGGTTCGTAGACTTTAGCCACAATCAAGGTCAGGACAGATAATTTGAAATCGTGGAAACCCTATGGATTAACCCAGGGTATAGTGGAGTAAAACGGAATGAGCACTGGGGATACCGATGATGCTCTCGACTCTTCATGTATCGAGATGATACTATACTATAGCTCCTTCTTGAAGAATCCGATGTGAATTAAATCGTACTTCAATAAGCAAAACTGCCAATTTGAAAACAACGATTGATTATTGTTATGTATTACATTTCTGTCGCATCCAAGTACATGTACAATTAAGCACATAATCCACTCTTTCCGATCGAAGCGTTAAAAGCTCGCTTTACCCGGCATTTTAAAATGGAATGTCTGACGTCTTACTTTAAAGACGTCATGAAGGCGGGGCTAAATATATGCCGTGTACAACAGCCAATCAAAATATGCGAATAGGCAATTTAAATTGCAAGTAGAGAACTTTAATGGGTCGCGTAAAACTAATGCACATGGTTATGAATGTCGTATCATTCTGTTTAAAATACCGCTTGATAAACTTTACTACAACAATATTTGAAGGTAAACAAAAGTTGTTTCACTACATTGGGCCGGGTATATTTAATTAGTCCTAATACTATAAAATTAACTTATTTTTAAGATGTATTAATAAGAAATTAATTTTGCTAGGTGAGACTATATGCATCCAATCGTAGGCTATACACTAAAAACAAACACGAAAGTATATCTAAACGTTTTAGCTACGTTCTCATAGCTAGGGCCAACTGTACTGGATATAGGGTAAAATTATTTTGGCAGACCCGTTGCCTCGTCGGCGTCGCATTTCTCTTAGTCGACGGAAGAGCATAAGAAAATGAGACCTGTCAGCCACAATATCTACATTGACCTTGAAATTTTTATTCGTGATAAGCTTATTGTCATTTGATATTACAATAAATTAAGGTAAATTAATATTGAACGCCAGGATCACATCATCTAGGACGATTCTGCTGAAAGCTATAGGCCTATACAGAACCCATTTAAGTGCATCACGTATACTCAGTTATAGTAAACTATGAACAGAAGACAGATCAACAAATTATGAAATCTTAGAACATTGTTCCTACATTATGTAGGAAACTATAGTGTTAAACTGGTTTAAGTATGCATATACATTCTACAGACAACTATAAAATCTACCCCTCTGTTGTATTATAATGTTTAATTCTAAAAAATATATAAAATAAATATTTTTCTACAGTTTTCAATACAATATCATAGACATCTATAGGATTACACAACTGACTTAAGAATACAAGTATAGACAACTATAGTTTTTATCACCAAATCTTTAAAAACTATAGGATTACACAACTGACTTGGGGATACATGTTAGTTCTATAGAAAACTATAGTTTTACCAGCAGCAGCAATGAATCTATAGTTATTTTTCTATAGTTTCTTAAAATATTCTATAGAATTCTATAAGAAATTAACTACCGATCCTATTATACAAAACTATAGTAGGCCTAAATGTCTAATTAAACATACATTATGCAAGAGCTAAATCTGCCTATTGCAATTTTTTATTTGGGCTTCAGATGTTATAGAAATTATTAATTAGACCTTTATTTACACGACAAGCTCAAAATCAACTCTCTGTAGACCCACGGATGGCTTCGATACAGTTTGGATTTAAACAGTCGTCCATTTAAAATTAAATCAATAAATGGCGGACCAAGATAACGTTTACCGTTAGCCGTTGATGTCACCATCGGAAACTGGTGATGAAAGGCCTGCCAAGCGAGGCTACCATAGCCATTGAGCATGTTACTTGATAATTGAGAATATGTGGGTGGAGTTATCGTCTGTCAATCAAATGATCGCCAATTCTCATAAACGGTGCAGACGCCTATTTCTAGTCCAAACTTCCAACAGTGAGAATTCCGTTCAGAACAAAGTAATTTGGTTGAAATTTTCAACATTTTCTTTTCTTATCATCTATTTTTGAATTATTATAGCAATGACCAACTCTTTATAAAACTCTTAACTAATCAAGGAATGACACTTATCAAGAGAGTTGACATCTTCAGACAGTAGCATGACTTAGCCTCTCTAATAGTTTTAGATACTCTGGCTCTTTCATCTTTATATAATTGCCGATGTACCTCAAGATGTGTAGACCTCCATTTCCGTTCAGCCAAACGACGACTTTTCTTTGTATCACGTACCTCGGTGTTATACCAGTTAGTGCCAGGTTGGGGTATAATCTGTCTTGTAACGATTGGAGCATGTTGATCCACGATGGTGAGCAGCTTCGTGTTGTACAGGACAGCAAGATCATCTGGGTCTTGAGGAGGGTTACAAACTAGGTCAAATGAAGCAAGGCCAGCGCGGAAAACGTCAAACTGAATGGATCGTATCTTTCGAATAGACTTGAACAGTTTATCGGGTTGGGGCTTTTCAAAATTCCATTTTGAAGATACCAGGTAGTGATCCACCCGATTAGATTTTATTACATACTTCGAGAAGGTATTTGTTGAGTAATAAAACCTTCTAGTAGTTTATCGAGGGCTGGCCGTCCTTACCGCACGGTACAAATAAAACCTTCTAGTAGTTTATCGAGGTTCGGGTGCTTCCGGAGTCCAAAATGGCCGCTTTATATCAATGAGAATTTTGGGGATAACTAACCCGAACCCTAACTCTAACCCTTTTTAAAAGACTGAACTTGGGTCTAATTTAGTTTTTACTTCTCTTAAAAGGGTTAGGGTTCCTGTTAGTATTCCCCTAAATACTCATTTGTATAAAGCGGCCATTTTGGTATGAGTTCTGGCTTGTTCTGGAATTTGTTGCTTCTAGTGGTGATAATATTTGTACCGTGCGGTAAGGACGGCCAGCCCTCGATAAACTACTGGAAGGTTTTATTACTCAACAAATACCTTCTCGAAGTATGTAATAAAATCTAATCGGGTGAGTGATCGGCGATCTGTATATCGCCTATTTTGACGTCTTCTATCAAGATACAATCTTGACGAGTGACAATCCAATCAAGGATGTGGCCTGCTTTATGAGTTGGCTGATGAACATATTGTTGAAGGTCAGCAATATCCAGCACTTATGAGTAATAAAACAGATAGGCTATATTGTGAAGTTGTAAAAATGTTAATAAGAAGTTCAAAATTAAAATAACAATGATACAGAGAAATCCCAAGTCATATAAAGGCCAATATTCAATCTGCAAAATTTTTAATTATTAAAACATAGTTAAAACCTCAAAAAGTGTAACGTAATCACTAAAAAAAAACACAACGGCAACAAATGACGAACGATAGAAGTATTAATTACAAGCCAATCAACTTAGATCCGTATATTGTGTAACTACTGATCACTACAACAACAGCTAATCACGATAATAACAAGTACTTTATTCCTGACAATCTCGAACCAAATACGTAATACTTTTTCCTGAACTGATCAGTGATCAGGAACCATCTAAAAAAAAAAAAACAGTAAGTAGATATAGTTTCGTTGTTAACGCTAACAACAGTTTCGGACATGCTCAAATGCCCAGGAGCAAACACACACCGGGAGTCAATTCAAACTGTCACCCCGGTATCTCCAATAATTTATAATATAACATTTAAGCCCAAACCAAGACCTGCAATGGGTAGATTTAGGTCTTACATAACGCCTATTTAAATATAGACGTGGTAAATAAATTTTCCATATATGATTGGCTCTAGAAATATGGTTACTAACTTATTTCGAATCCGGGTGCTGAAATATGTACGTGAGAGATTCCGCACGATTCCGAACTTAGAGGTGCGTTAATATTGTCCAATGATGAATTTCAGTTAATAAAAATCGAAGAAATAACAGATTTACGCTACAATATAGAATATCAAAATATTTAAGGATTCATGAAGCGTAAAATATAATTAAAACTCTGTAAAATAAGACCAATAGCTTCCAAAAGTAATCTATTTCAACATAGGAGTCATTTTACTCCGCTACAACAGAAATACATGAGAATTATCTCCCATGTCAGGAATTACTGTTGTCATTTCATGGAAAATTAATAACAAATTTTCATAAAAATTACCGGTTAATTTACACAAGAAAAACTGTGAATGGCCTCAGTATTTATGCTAAGATCATATTTAGAACTGGCAATGAAGGTATATCGGAATTAAGCAGCTGTATAATTAAGGATCGTGATCATAGCGTTAGCCAATATTTTGTCACTTTTGTGACAAACTGTGGACTCTTTTTTTTTTATTACCGGTACGTCGCTCGAGCAGGTGAGGTGAGTGCATACAGGACTGTCTCTAAAAACGTGATTTGTGTGATGTGCATAGGCTATATATTTACCATTTGGTTGGAGCCCTTTAGTTCCTTTTTAAAGTACACGGATATCAGCAACACCCCATGTAATATAACATATGAAAACAACAACTTGATTCATCAATTTAGTAGAATTTTATTTTGTTTTTGTATCTCCTGAAAAATTGATATATAAATGATTATTGTTAAGAATATAAAATCGACTCTTTGCAGACAACACTAACATATTTATCTAAAAATTAATGACCCAACCGCATGCACGACTGTCTTAAATAGTGATCTTAAAATGTTAAAGGGACTATCCCAATTTGAACAGTCTCAAAAATAAAAGTCTGCTGTTTAAACGCCAAAATATAGAGGAATGGTGTATTTACCTTGTCTCAAAGTTTCAGTTCAAAATATCGAGTCGTTTGGGCGTGAACGTCAAAACTGCTTATCCGGACACGTAACCCTTTTAAGATTTCGGGTCAATTTTTATGTTGGTTGACCTGATAATCGGTTGCCGTTCCTTTAGAGGTCTATACAATAAATGACCCATGTGCTGTACTTGATAACGAAAGGTAAATTTAACCTACACATTACACTCGGCAAGAGAAGCGAAGACGTCACAAACTCATCTTAATGTACAAAATTATGAATCAGCTAAACCTCCATACCTCCACAATTTAATTCATTTTCCAAAACTCCTTATAATCTTTGTAATAGCAATAATTTAACTGATTACTTTTGTCTAACGACTTTACTAAATCCTTTATACCTTCTACCTTAAAAGAATGGAATAGCCTTGATCTAAGTATTAAGAATTCGACCTCTATAAGTAAATTAAAAATCTAAAATAATTGATAAAGATAAAAATATACCCCCTTATTTCAACTTTGGCAAATATAAAAATCAAACAGTTGTCTTCGTCTACCTTGAAGTTGCAATGACCTGAATGGGTATAAATATTTAAGACATTTCGGACAGTCCCAGGTGTGATTGTGGTCATTCCTTCGAAGGTACCAGTCATTTTCTTTTACATTTCTCCTTACATTCTGATGCACACAAAATATCTATAAATCTTTTGCCAACCAAGTTTATCAATACACATAATCTGTTAACCATCGTTAAAATGGTCTACTACTTGTTTTTTGACAGCAGCAGTAGGTTTTAAGATCAGTGTAACATCTATATCGATCATAACCAAAATGCGAACATGAACAACTGCGTAGCCTATGTGTAAATATAATACAAACTATTGTTGATTATGTACTCATTTATTGTGTTATTTTGTTGTTTACCCACTTGTTTCTTTTATTTATCCACATTTACACATGTATTCTTGTATTTAGGAGAGAGGTCATATACATGTAAGCTATGCCTGTTCTTTAATCCCTTTCAATTTCTGAATAGAATATTGCTTATAAGAAAAAAAAAATATCATCAAGTTCAATAGTCTCTGATTGAATAAAACAAAAGACAACTAGAAATTAGTTTTTCATTGTTTTTTCTTTTCTTACTGTCACCTGTTTTTTCTTAATTAATAATGACGTGTATAAACCTCATTTTGACACATACAAATTTATTTTGTGGTTTATAATGGTTTATAATTTAAATGGGGCGCCAAAGTACCTAGGATCTTTATGGGTCTTAATCCGGCCCTGACTGCAATAAATAACAATCATTAGCCTCACCTAAAATGCCTGCACTCAAAACAGGTCTTAAAAGTCTCTAACTCAATATCATGCAAAGTCTTCGACATTGAAAACACAAATTATTTGTCAATTTAAATCAACATTGATGTTGTGATCTTACCAGGAAAAGATGGGCTTCTGATATCCAATATTTAAGACAAAATAAACATTTTACCATTGGTACACGAATTGTGTACCATAATGCGTTTCAGGCCCATTTTTAACAAGGGACTCGACGAACGAGGCTAGACATATTCCGCAAGTCATGTCAAACGGTGACGGCATAAATATATTCATATCTGGAGAGTATACGCAATAAATACTATGTAGACTAGAATAACTAGACGCTAGAGATTGTCATTCGATTGAGACTTCTGGCGTATTTCGCCGAACATAACTGATTTGAAATTATAGTAAAAACGGAAATGATTTAATGTAAATCAGTTTATATATTACATATTACATTATTATATGCAGTGCCACCCATTTGTGTCAATTTCAAGGTCCCAAATATTAGCGATTTAGCTCCTTTAAAAATGATATAGTTTTAAAATATTTTGCCGAATTAAATATACACAACAGTACAACAATGTACATGTAGCGACATAACTGCAAGTATTATTCATATTAGTAGTTAAAGATGCATTAGGCAAGATTTAGATAAAATTCTGGATGTGCTCACTATAATAAATATATAATGAAAAATGGACAGGCTAGTATTGAAAATTTCATTCATCTGAGTGAAGTTATGAATGTTTAAAGTTTTGACAATAAATAGTGTAAATAGTCTTGATTGCCAAGTACCATTTATTGCTATTATAATAAACAAAGTCTTGGTTTTCCATTTTAATGTTTAACGAAGATATGGCTATTGTCTAATCCATTTGATATCTCAGCCATCCGATGATGGTTTAGAGAGATGATTATGGCCTTGTCATGGGAATAAAATAGATCTGCAATAGGCAGATTTATCTGTTACATGTACATTTGCATCTTCAAATTAATCAAGTACCATAACGTTTTTCACTGAGTTTGACAGTTCATTCTTAGTTTCCCTGCATTACACATGCATAATATAGTACTAATAGTAGTCTATGCATGTCTTTCGTTTTGGGCTTGAAATAGAAATGTCTGCCTAGCATCGCTTGACCATTTTGATTTAAAAGATATGATTTGGATCCGCATCAGTTAACTCCTACAGTTCTGTGGTTCATGCAACGATATGCAAAGATTGACACCTGAACACAGAGAGTATGAGTATTGGAGCTATCCACCAAAGGTTTATATGCAAACACACTACCATATTCCTGAAGCAATGGCCCGAGAAATTCCCTCTCTGGCCATTGCTGGATTAGCTTCTGATACTTGTGCTTTTGAGGGAGTGTGTCTATTTTTCCCGTTCAATCAAATCTATCACAAAGCACAGCAACATGACAGCCCTTCTTTTAATCAGGAGCCTTTTCTAACACTTTGGACAGTGATTTAAGGTATTAAAAACGGTGAAAGTGTCGTTCGACTCAAAACAGTATTGTTTACATTATAATCCGTGCTGATAACCTTGTTTGTCACACAATTAGTTTTTCTTCAATATTCTGCTATGCACTGGTTAATTGGGCATAATAAAATCGTGAGTCATGACGTAACGTTCTGTAAATATATTTTGTCCAATTTGGAGCTCTGTTTGTTATTGTTACGCAGTTAGCTATTAGTTGTTAATCGGACTATTGACCAGTCAGAATTTAGAACAAGAATTTGTCTTCTATACAGCAGTGAGTAGTGGGATTAGCTCTAATCAAACGAATCACTGCGAGGAGTATGACACACTACCATCCTGATACTGCTTGATCGTTCCCACTTTATTTTCTCAAAATTGCATGTAAGATCCCCTCTACCATTAGAATCTGCTATATGTAGCCCCTCAACAACCAGATCATATTATAAAGCATGGTCCTTACAATATCCTCGAGGTATTTAAATGGCATAGGCTAATGGCCCATATGTGTATTATTGTAAAGCATTCTAGAATAAATTAATGTGATGTACCAGTATGTACAACTATGAATAGATGCAGTGTAGCCTACCGGAACATTGAACCATTTAAATTGCTCACAGCAGTTACACTGTACTTTTGACCTGGAATATATGTCTAATACAACAGTTAACTTAATAACAACATCATAACATTTAATGTCAAGAGGCTGACTCACTGAGTGAAAATAAAATCTTTGAAAAATAGATTATGATTAGATTGTGGTACATGTAACTATCTAATATTTGCTTTACCAATTCGAAGTGAAGCATTTCTCGAAAAGACTTCTGTACGGTACAAAGATATGCGGGCATATTAAGGTAAAAGTTGTATTTTTAACCTATTTGGTTATGCTGAATTTCAGTAGTGGTGTATGTCGAGAAATACTCTCCATTTTCACAGTCAGATTATTTTCAAGGCCAAATTTGTTTTTTCATATCTGCACACCCATACACAAAATTGGTCTTTACAAAATTTAGATCAAATTTGACTAAAACTTCTTGTGGGTGCCACAAATCTGGGTAATAACTAGACTAAATGATATGTCAGATCTTAGATATTAAATATATAAATTATATGATTATAATAGTGAGATTTTGTATGTCTGAATCCCAGTTGGCAGTTGGGATTTACAGAAGCATAGGGAAAATTGTTCGGGCAAAATTCTCAAATTGCCAACTTAACCATAGGAATAAAGTTTACTGTGTTGATGTGACGTTTAACCCTATTCCTTATGTTTTGTAGGTCTCAGAAGAGTAAGATGTGTTTGAAATAATTTATTTTTTAAAACAGAATGCTAAGAAGAATGAGGATGAGAAGGGGTATGTATAATAAATAACTTCTGTTTTTCTTCAATATTTATGTTACTTATGTCATGTGGGTTATCCTGCCAGTCTTGGATTACCTGTGCAGACTGAGGAGAAGCTGCTAGATTTTTAATTCCTGGTTCTCACTTGTCTGACAAGGAAGAGTGTGCCGGGGATGAAAAACCAAGGCCCCAAATACAAATTGGTGGTGCATTTAAAAGATCCCATTTTAAGGTTAAATTGACTAATAAGTAAATTCTTCAACTTATCAGTTTCCATCACATACAATTAAGACAGGCAAGTATATGACAAAAACAGGAACCAAAATGTAGTGCAACTCCACACTATGACTGATACACAATGTACTTACATCCCCATTTTAAAAATATAGTAAATGGTTTTGTATTTATTTCTTGGGTGGGGGGTTGGATGGCTGAATGGTTAGCACATGTGCGCTGTATCATAAAGTCTGTCATTGAGTCAACTGGTGTGGTTTCGAATCCCCAGTTGTACGTGACAAGGAGTAGGGTCGCCTGTCCAACCTCGTGGGTTTTCTCTGGGACCTCCGGTTTCCTCCCACTGCTAAAGACCCCTACGCGCAAGCGAATTATGGAAAAATTGAACCATATGTTAGTCCCGAAATGACCTAGTTTGTGTCGAGTGGACATTAAACCCCATCCCTCTCTCTATTTCTTGGGTTTATTCCCTTTGTTTGTATTTTCAGGTAGACTGGGAATCGTGCTGAGTATATTCTTTGTGTGTTTTCTGATGTTACGATATAAAGGCTATTCCAATCAGATTTATCGTCTTCTATATGCGACATTTGACACCGTGTACTCTTACGATCAATCAAGACCCCATTTCTGCTGTACCGTCTTTCAGGGTGGATTAGGAAATTTATTGTTTCAGTATGCATTCTCGTACGGTCTAGCTAAAGATAGAAATCTCACCCTTCTCGTCTCCAAAGATGAACTGGGCCAATTACAACAAGTATTTCAAATTCCTAATACATCATTTGATGAGAGGGGCCACAGAGTTTGCCGATATTCCAAGAAATATGAGGATAAATATGATGTTGGTTACGACAGTAGTATCATAGCCGTGTCAAATAATACCGACCTTCATTTTGAAGGCTATTTCCAATCTTGGGTTTATTGGAGAGATTATGATGATGATCTTCGCCAGCAGATTCAGTTTCATCCGCAAGTCTTAACACAAGCGAAACGTCTGCTTGCTGAAGCACTAGGAACTCTCGGGAAAATATCACGGGAAGTGACTTTAGTAGGTATCCATGTCAGAAGGGGGGATATGATAACTAATGACTATTTTAAAAATTATGGCTACAAGGTTGCTGATGAGAAATATTTAGCCACAGCTATGAAATATATCCGTGATCGTGTGAAAGGGGATATCGTATATGTTGTTTGTTCCAATGATATGGTTTGGACCAAAAAGGCTATAACGGATCCAAATGCTGTTTTTATCAACGGTACGAAGCGAGAATATGACATGGCAGCGTTGACATTATGTGATCATTTTATTATGACTGTCGGAACGTTTGGTTGGTGGACGGGATTCCTCGCCAGAGGGATTATAATTTATTATGACATGCCATTTAGACCTGGTACTCCATTGGCTAAAAATTGGGCCAGCGACTACAAAGAGACCTTTTTTTACCCTGGTTGGATTGGGATGAGATAGCATGATACGATTGGATTGGGATTACAAGTCATTTTTCTTAAACTCCGGAAACAGTTGTTACCGAGAGAAAACGCATGAAGTTAGGCAGACAATGCTCCTCCTTATCACATACTAGCCTGGGATCGGTCCCACAACTTGTATAGGGGTCATTCCATATCAACTGAACCTATGGTGGGAACATCACCCCCTCCCAAAAAATAATAAAAAATATGTTATAGGTCTAGTATATGGCCTTAAACTAACAAATCCAAAATTTTACCTTTCTAGGTCAAAAACTTGCTGAGGTATGGCAATTTGAAATGAGGGTGCTGAAACGGATCATAAATTCAGTTATTTTTTTCAGGTTTCCAGGTGCTTTAAACTCACATTTCTAATATGATAAAAGTTGATCAAAAATGATAAATATGACGGGTCTTTCAGAAGTAATTTTAATCTGATTGTCAAAACCCAATATTCCAATTTGTGAAGCGGAATAACCATTTTTTATACGCCCACATAGAAATGTAGACATATATTGCTGTCGCCCCCGTCCATCGTCCACAATTTCTTGTGAACGCCAAAAGTTATCATCCAATTGTTTTAAAATTATGTTGTTTACATTAGTGAGATGAAGAAGCCTATTGAATTTCAGCAATTTCTGTGTATTACTTCTAGAGCCATGGCCGTTGTTTCACTTTATTGAACCTTGTGAACGCTCTAATGCCAAAAGTTAACATCCGATCTTTGTGAAATTTGTATGGAATATTTAAATTAGGGACACGAAGAAGCCTATTGAATTTCAGCAATTTCCGTTTATTACTTCTAGAGTTATGGCCCTTGTTTCACTTTGTTTAACCTTGTGAACGCTTTAACGCCAAAAGTTATCATCCTATCTTTCTGAAATTTATGTGCATTATTTGAATTAGTGAAATGAAGAAGCCTATTGAATTTCTGCAATTTCTGTGTATTACTTCTAGAGTTATGGCAAAAATTATAATCTGATCTGTATGGAACTGTCTTGTAAAGGCCCCTAATTACCTACCAAAGGATTAAATATGCGACATCCCTTGTCAACCGCTCGGACGATTTAGCCGCTGTGGGCGTATGTTTCGTTGCCTGGCAACCTATCTTTCTAATTTGGTAGGCAAAAAAAATTAGAACAATACAATGTAGATCCAAAATGATTGCATATTCGTATTCAACGCAAACATCACTCTATATAGACACATTTGAGGGGTATAAGTACTCAATAGTGACTTTGCCAGAGGCTGTGGAAATCCTGAAAAAAAAGTGAATAGTTCACTTGTTCCACATTTTGCCACCTGGTGGCACGAACTGTGTGAATCGCACATTGTGTGTGATGCTAAATTCGTAAACTTCACCAAAAGTTGTCTTAGATTACAAAGTCAGAAAGTTCTACTCCAGAAATGTGAGTTTAAAGCACCAGAAAACCTGTAAAAATTACTGAATTCATGATCCTTTTCAGTACCCTAATTTCAAATGGCCATATCTCAACAAGTTTTTTAAGACATGGAGAGGTATAATTTTGGATTTGTTTGCTTAAGGCCATATACTATAACATATATTTTTATACGCCCACATTTTCATGTGGATGTATATTGTCGTCGCCCCTGTCCGTCCGTCCGTCCACAATTGTTTGTTAACAGTCTACAGGTCGCAATTTTTAACCGATTTCAATGAAACTTGAAATATAGGTTTATCACCCTAAGATCTCGGTTCCTTTCTGTATCGGACAGTAACTTCATGGATTATGGCCCCTGATTGTACGAAAAATCACATTTTTAGCTTGTGAATATCTCTGTTTAGCATGTACACACGTCAACCTATTACAGTAGTTGTCCGTCCGTCCTGATTTCATTTCCGGAGCAATCCGAGCATAACTCATAAACCGTTCAAGATATCTTTTTGAAACTTTGTACACACATCAACCTATTACAGTAGTTGTCCATCTGTCCCGATTTCATTATCCGTTCAAGAAATCCTTTTGAAACTTTGTACAAACATCAAACTATTATATAGTATTTTATTTTCTGATGTATAAGCTTAATTTTTAACATACAGCAGCGGATTGAGGTAGGCAAAGGTTATTGTGCAAACCTTACAGGGAGTAGCAACTGTGCCTTGCCGAGCTACTGTGATCAGAGTATGAATCTTCTGACTAGTCCCATTGATATTTCTTATGCCTTCCGAACAAGTGCAAGGACGCAATATGTTTGGAATTACATTTAGCATTGTTCATGCCAAATCTGATGAAAATCCATGCAGACACAACTGAGGAAATTCAACTTTTGTTGTCATTAGCACCCTTTATTATCATGCTTTTGAGTCAAATTTGAAACATAGATGGTAAATAAAATTGGTATTGTTTTTGGTGATTAATATGTAGTTCATCACCCCCAATAACAAAAAATGTCATATCTTATGAACAAAAATTACAGTGCTCGCTTTAAAATGTGCATTTTGGACTGCTCAACACCTTTAAGGGCTGTCGGCTCGAGTTTTGTCATAGATGGCACGTGCAGATTGTCTAAGCTCTTGGCAAGTCACATGACACAAACATGACTTCTTTTTAATAGATATTTTATAGCTTGGGGTATTTTCTCAAAAACACAATGTTTTTAGAGAGATTTGAAGGAAATTTTTGATAGATTAATTAGTTTGAATATGTTTTTAGTCCAAATATATCATCAAATCACCCAGTTTGTACCGGGAAGGTATCTTTAAAATGTATCTATATACAGTAAATTTCTATTAAAACTGGTGTCATATACCTCTTTTAGTTCCTGCAACAAGATATTCTTACAAAATGTCAGCAATACATTCACAATATCAAAGCCTTTTAATTGAGTACGATATCCCTTTACACTTTCTGTTCAGTACATTTGTTATAATATTGTCAACAAATGAGACATCTTTTGATCCCTTACACTTCTTTATTAATAAGTAGTGGTAAACTGAAGACAATAAAACATTTTTCATAAGTATCCAATAACATAACTTGCAGCTGAATTGGTGGGTACAAATACATTGTCAAATTAGCACTTAATTAACATTAATGTCATTGAATTCATTGAAATAGCATTGATGTCATGTGATGATATGATGTCACCAGAAAAGTTAACCAGAACATGGTGACATAATACTGAAAATGGTCAATTACATATTTTTCTCTTTAGCGAATCTTGAGTTTGACGTGGTGAAGATGATGTTATTTTATACCGGGTATATGTATGTATATTATATGCTTTGTTTTATGTATCTCGTATTCAGTATGATATATTATATTACCTTGCCTCCCAACAGCTTTAAATTTTATACAAAATATTGCAATACTCCATATATTGAATTTGAAGTCAGGATAATCAGGTCACAATCATAGACGAGATTGTTTTTATTTACTTTAAGTATTTTATTTGTTATTGATTGTTTATAATATATTATATATTGCCATATTTCTATTTTTACATGTATTTTGTCACATATCATATAATGTATTGCACTTAAATCTTGAGGTAAAAGTGGCCATATTCCAAAAATCTTTACAGATCACTGTCACCCTCAACCACATTTAAAATGGCTGCACAAGACTGACTATGCCAATTAATGTGCATGTACAGTTCCATTAACAAGATGATTGTGATGATATCTTGTCAAGACTATGATGGGAATCTCAGATGATTGTGATATCTTGTCAAGAGTCAAGACAATAAATAATGGGAATCTCAGGAGAATACCAAGAATGTGTATAGCATATAAGTCAGATATTAACGGTTTTATTTCGGGTACTGCATTGTATATGAATGCAATAAAAACTGCTAGATGGGCTGTTAAAGGCAAACAGCTGGCAGCATTTAACTTATACTATCATGATGATCTTTGTGGACCAGACATTATCAATAGTGTAATCAGTCTCATGCAGCTATTAGGCAGGTGAATTTTTTGTCAAAAATATTACATTGAATCAATGATGTTTCACCAATATTGTCATGGGTTATTTGATCCCACATATGGCAGAAGAAAAATTAGATTTAATGTCCGCACCTCAAACCCTTTCCATAAAGATAAAGAATTAACTTGCATAATATGCGAGTCATAATTTATTCTCCAGAATATTTTATTTCATTGATATGTTTTGTATATTAGAAACATTTTAAAGTATGAGTTTTAACTTGAAAGTTGTAAATATATACATTTATTGGTACATTAAGAAATATATTGTGTCATATTCACAGGACCCACTAACATAATTGTTGGAATTGTGACCACTTATGATAAATTTGACTTGGCAATTTTAATCTTGGTTGTTGAGATTACCACAGCTTGAAGCAGCTTCCACATTATATTCTACCTGCAAATAATGTAAGAGAATATTATAGGTGTAATTCATATAGCAATGTCTGACCTCTTTCATATTTGCCTCTTCATATTTATCAAATTATTAGTTAAATTTTTAATATATCATCGCTTATGCTGAACATCTAAACCAATGAAAATTAATACTATATTACTACACTATATATTCCATTATTATTTACCAAAAAAAGAATAAAATATATATCTAGTGTCCCAAATTAAGTATAGTGGTTATATGTTCATGTATACAATGAAAATTGTCCTCAACTTTTGTCTAACATTACTGAGAAGATTTTGTTTTATGGCTTAATTTTACATAAATTATTAACTTTGTCACTTATCCTTTCAAATATTTTTTTTTTAAATCAAAATCATCTTTGCTTGGCTGTAGTCGTTCCCGAAAACTTCAGGTGGGCAGGTGGGAATATATCTGCATTACAGCCTCTCATTACATCTTGAGTTTTTCATGAAAATTGATATTCTGCATCTCTTACAGTTCTTCTGAAGAACTTCATCTATCATTTGAAATAAATTAGATATCTATTGAAGGAAAACAAAGATTATATGTTGGTCACAGCATTATCTGTACCAGTAATCTAATTCATATTTATAGGCCAATAATCATTTCGATTTACTTAATACATATAGAGATGTATATAAATTTTATGGTTATTTGAATACTGTAGACAGGGGCAGATCCAGGAATTTTTGCAGGAGGGGGTTTGCAAGGTTCCTGTTAAGGAAGTTTGTCAGTGGACAATGCATGATGCCATCGTCGTCTCCAAATTACGTAGGCATACATACACACCAAGCTTTTTAGAAAGAGACGTTAGTTTTTATAATGAATTAATAGGATCACATTGTGATTCAATTTCATTGATGCAAATCATTAATTGTGATATCACAATATAACTTTATAAAGTGGATTTGATTTATGGACACAGTTGAGATCCTAAGCTATATAGAGCCTGGAGGCTCCTTGTTAAAAAGTCATTATACCATATACCATAACTGTCCATAACAGATCGCCACAAAACTTGGAAAAAAAAAATATATATATACAGTACTGTTACATATAAAAAAGCATTTAGCATTTTAAAATTAAAAAATAATTGTTAGACTGCTGTAGATTTTGAGGCCCTTTAATAAGCTGTAGCTTGTTTTAGCTTATGTCTAAATCCGGCACTGCACATGGCTATAATTGTCCCCCGCCTTTCGAAGAAAGCAGGGGACTATTAAAATGGGTTCGCCCGTCTGTCTGTCCGTCTGTCTGTCTGTCTGTCCGTCTGTCCGTCCGTCACACTTTTTGGGACACAATAACTCTCTTCCTAATTGAGCTAGAATGTTCAAACTTGGTGTATGTGTTTATTAGGTCAATGCCTTGATGGAGTTCGAAGATGAGCATTTTCCGCTTAGGGTAAGCAGAGATAAGCAATTTGATTGGTTGATGCTTTGGGACACGATAACTCTCTTCCTAATTGGGCTAGAATGTTCAAACTTGGTGTATGTGTTGATTAGGTCAATGCCTTGATGGAGTTCGAAGATGAGCATTTTCCGCTTAGGGTAAGCAGAGATAAGCAATTTGATTGGTTGATGCTTTGGGACACGATAACTTTTAATTGAGCTAGAATGTTCAAACTTGGTGTATGTGTTTATTAGGTCAATGCCTTGATGGAGTTCGAAGATGAGCATTTTCCGCTTAGGGTAAGCAGAGATAAGCAATTTGATTGGTTGATACTTTGGGGCACGATAACTCTCTTCCTAATTGAGCTAGAATGTTCAAACTTGGTGTATGTGTTGATTAGGTCAATGCCTTGATGGAGTTCGAAGATGAGCATTTTCCGCTTAGGGTAAGCAGAGATAAGCAATTTGATTGGTTGATGCTTTGGGACACGATAACTTTAGTTCTAATTAAGTGAGATTGATGAAACTTGGTGTATAGTTTCATTACAGTAATACCTTGACTAAGTTTGATAATGAGCATTTTCTGCTCAGGGTAAGCAGAGCGATACGCAATTTGATTTTTATATGTGTCCTCTAATTATTTTCCTATTTCGGCGGGGGACATCAGCCTCACTGTTGGCTTGTTATATCCATTATGGGGGTGATATTTTGTCATTTCTCATACTGATGAACAATATCAATTTCAAACTAGGCACTAGTGGTTTTGAGATTCTCACTGTTAGTTAAAACAAACTAATTGTTGATAGCACATGTGTTGACTATATTATTAGAAATGTTTAAATTAGACCATACACCAAAAAGAACATTGGGCCATAAATAATACAATCCTAACATAACTCATAAGTTGTGTCTGTCTCAAGTTCACATTACCTTTTGTTGATTTTACGGCAGGATCTTTTTTGTCACTGAACATTGTTATCCTTTAAACATACATTATGCAAGAGCTAAATCTGCCTTTTGATTGATTCCTATCTACAAACATTGAGAACACAATGACCTAACCTTTTTTTTTTTTTTTTTTAATCAAACTGATAGATTAATCTCTATAAAACACATTTGTAATTATTGGTCATCTGGCACATTGAGGTTTTTATCAACTAAATTAAATATTTAAATCAACTAAATTAAATATTTAAATCATCATAAATCATTAGTGTGAAATATGCTAAATCAAAAAGTAAATGGTTATCAAAATCAAAATGTACATTGTTTATCTAAATCAAAATGTAAATGGTTAATCAAATTCAAAATGTACATTATTTAACTAAATCAAAATGTAAATTGTTTAACTAAATCAAAATGTAAATTGTTTTAACTATAAATCAAAATGTAAATTGTTTTAACTAAATCAAAATGTAAATTGTTTAACTAAATCAAAATGTAAATTGTTTTAACTAACTCAAAATGTAAATTGTTTATAAAGTCTGGACATATATTATGTATGTAATGTGACTAGAAATCACAAAATAAATACATATCATGTAATAGAGGTCTAATACGAAATCCAATATTTATATTATGTCCAGTCCCTAAATCTGACATGTATATGTAATGAAGCCCTGGATGAAATGTGTAATGGAGCTGTAGATCATGCTTAGTCTAAGTGTATATTGTGTAACTAAGTCTGAAATATATATGTAGCCTACTGAAGCTCTTAATCATTCTAAGACTAAAATATATATTATGAAGCTCTAGATAATTCTCAGTCTGAAATGTATATTATGTTATATTATTATGTTATAAAGCTCTAGATAATTCTATGTATGACATGTATATTATGTTATAAAACTCTAGATAATTCTAGCCTGAAAAGTATTTAATGAAGTTCTAACAGAATTATATTGCCAGCAAGTAAATTGATATAATGAATATATAATGTTATTTATATGCAATAATAAAAATATAAAGACAAGAATTGTCTTTGATTTTATTAGTGGATTGGTCAAATGATTTATGCCATACCATCCCGTGTGTGTGTGAAATAGCTTTTTTTAACGTCCCCTGTCCTTTCACTTTTTATACGCCCACATTGAAATGTGGTCGTATATTGTCGTCGCCCCCGTCCGAACGGCGTCCACAATTGCTTGTGGACGCTCTAGAGGCTAAAGTTAATATCTGATTGACTTTAAATTTATAAACAGTGTTTAAGGTCATGAGACGAAAAAGCCTATTGATTTTCAGCGATTTCCGATAATTACTGCCAGAGTTATGGCCCTTGATCGCTTCAAAAAATCTTGTGGACGCTCTAGAGGTCAGAGTTAATATCCGATTGACTTTAAATTTATACACAGTGTTTAAGGTCATGAGAGGAAGAAACCTATTGATTTTCAGCGATTTCCGATAATTACTTCCAGAGTTATGGCCCTTGATCACTTCAAAAAATCTTATGGACGCTCTAGAGGTCAAAGTTAATATCCGATTGACTTTAAATTAATACACAGTGTTTAAGGTCATGAGACGAAAAAGCCTATTGATTTTCAGCAATTTCCGATAATTACTGCCAGAGTTATGGCCCTTGATCACTTTGAAAAATCTTGTGGACGCTCTTAGAGACTAAAGTTAATATCCGATTGAGTTTAAATTTATACACAGTGTTTAAGGTCATGAGACGAAGAAGTTTATTCATTTTCAGCGATTTTCGATAAATACTGCCAGAGTTATGGCCCTTGATGACTTCAAAAAATCTTGTAAATGCTCTAAAGGCTAAAGTTAATATCCGATTGACTTTAAATTTATACACAGTGTTAAAGGTCATTAGACGAAGAAGCCTATTGATTTTCAGTGATTTCAGATAATTACTGCCAGAGTTATGACCCTTGATCACTTTGAAAAATCTTGTGGACGCTCTAGAGGCTAAAGTTAATATCTGATTGAGTTTAAATTTATACACAGTGTTTAAGGTCATGAGACGAAGAAGTTTATTCATTTACAGCGAATATTTGATAATTACTGCCAGAGTTATGGCCCTTGATCACTTCAAAAAATCTTGTAAATGCTCTAGAGGCTAAAGTTAATATCCGATTGACTTTAAACTGATGCAGAGTGTTTGAGGTCATGTGACGAAGAATCGTATTGATTTTCAACGATTTCCGATAATTACTGCCAAAGTTATGGCCCTTGATCACTTTTAAAAACCTTGTGACCCTCTAGAAGCTAAAGTTATCATCCGATTGACTTCAGATTCATACACAGAGTGTAAGGTCTTGAGACAAACAAGTATATTGATTTTCAATGAATTTTTATGACTTTAACAGCTAAATCCATGATGTTAAAAGTTTCCTATACTAAACGTTAGCATGGGGCAAAACTTTATAAAAACCAAACAAATTCTAATGGTTTTCTGATAATTACTTAATGAGTTGTTACTCTTAATCAGATTTTAATGCATTATAAATGTTTCATTGCCGAAAAATATAAATATGTGACAACTCTTGTTGACTGCCCGGACGAGTTAGCTGCTGTGGGCGTATGTTTCGTTGCCTGGCAACCTATCTTTATACTCCCACATTGAAATGCGATTGTATATTGCTGTTGGTCCTGTGTCCTCTATTGCTTGTGAATGCTCTAGAGGCTAAAGTTAATATCCAATTAACTTTCAATTTATACACATTGTTTAAGGTCATAAGATGTAGAAGCCTTTTGATTTTCAATGATTTCCTATAATTACTACAAGAGTTACAGCCCTTGATCAGTTTGAAAAATCTGGTGGACACTCTTGAGGCTAAAGTTAATATCCGATTGACTGTAAATTTATACACAGTGTTTAAGGTCATAATTTCCGATAATTACTGCTATAGTTATGGCCCTTGATTTCTTTGAAAAATCTAGTGAATGCTCTTGAGGCTAAAGTTACTACACGATAGACGTTAAATTTACACAGTGTAAAGAAACGAAGAAACCTACTGCGGAGTCATGGCCCTTGAACACTTTGAAAAATCTTGTGGACGCTCTACATGCTTAATTTAAACATACATTATGCAAGAGCTAAATCTGCCTATTGCAGGTCTTTCTTTAGGCCTGAAATGTTATCTAAATTATTAATTAGACATTAATTAACATATCCAGACCATAATCAACTCGCGATGTCAACGCTAGCCTGCGATGTTTACTGGATCAGGATACCATTTGCTTCTCCACTTTCATTCTTGATTTAATCATGAAATGGATAATCAAGACTATGTTTTCTATCGTACTGACTTTAGTAATGATGATCGAGGCTAGGCCGAAAATTCAATCGCTAAAATCTCAGTTCAGAGTGGATCAATTTGACTGAAATTTTCAGCAAATTCCTTTTACATTATCTAGGTTTTAACTATTATAGTGAGAACTGCTAGCTCTTTATCTAATCTCCCACAATGTATCTTAATATCCGATTGAATTTAGATTTATACACAGTGTTTACGGCAATGCGACGATGGCGCCTATTTATTTTCAACAATTTCTGATAATTACTGCCAGAGTTATGGCCCTTGATTGCTTTGAAAAGTCTTGTAGATGCTCTAGAGGCTAAAGCTACTATCCCATAGACTTTAAAATTATGGACTGCCCAGACAACTTAGCTGCTGTGGTCATATGTTTGATTGCCTGGCAACCTATCTTTTGACATTTTCTTCAGAACTGGGTTGAGTAGTTCTTGGAAAAACAGACATTTTCAACTCCTTAATGGATTTCTACCAAATTTATGGGTTGAATTGAATTGGAGTTCCTCGGTCCCTTAACTTAAAAGGGCAAATGTAATCTTTTTCTTACTGCGTCTTGAACAACATTTTCTCATAGAGTAATTATTTATATTTTTCTGCCCTTAGGCCTACTCTACTGCAATGACGGGCAATTAAGCCCCCAACATTCAAGGCTAAATAAAAGGTGACCTTTGACTGGATGACGTTTTGTTTTGTTCTATATTCATATTAAAGATGCAGTTCTATCTTTTGGCCTCAAATGTTATATAAATTATTAATTAGACATTTATTCACATGACAAGCCTATAATAAACTCTGTAGATCATCCGATGGTTGTGATTTTGAATGAACTGAAACACAATCAGCATTTAATTTAAAACAGATAATCAAGACTCTTTATTGTAACAACGGTAGCAATGAAAATCGAGATTACGCTATTCTTGATACACTCATAACTTATGGCGGGGTATCGGGCTCAAAATGCAATCTAGAGTAAAAAGCAGAAATTCAACAGTAAAAAGTAGAAAATCTGAAGTAAATGGGGAAATTTTTTATCTAAAAGGGTGAAAACCTATAAATTTATGTACTGTACTACTTAGTCTGCAGAAACCTCAAGCTTTTCAACTTTTAATCGCCATAATTCTACTTTCATGGACATAATTTCTACTTTCTACTATCAACTTTTGACTTTCGGCTTTCTGCTGTCAACTTTTGACTTTCGACTTTCCACTTCAGATTTTCTACTCACGATTTTCTAAAGTAGTTTTTTCCCAATATTATGATGGCTGATAGTGGCCATGTACATTTTTTCGCCATTTTCATAACCCGACAACACAACATAACAACAGTATTAGTGAGAGCATACATCAAAGTAGACTTGGATATTACAGACTTTTGGAAAGCGTAAATTCCTGGTCTGCATCGCGTATCCGTATGGATTTTGTGTGTGACGTCATCAATGTGTGTGTATTTCTCATATGTGATACGGCACACGGATACGGCAGCACGTATAGAACAGCTTTCATACGGAAAGGTCCGTATAACATCGTTGTCTTTTTATCGCCTTTTTTGCTACTTTTATACGCTGAAATGTTGTGGTATAGCGTTTTTATGAATCTATGTGTATCCTAGAACACGAAGGTGTACATATTTGATGTGATGTTAACCATGATAAAGGCGGGGGACAAAAAAAATAATAGGTTAATATCCAAATTTGATGTATGGTGGCTGATAGTGGCCATGTTAAATCTCGCCCTTTTCATAACGCGACAACACAACATCACGACAGTATTGACGCAATCATACGACATCGTGTTATTTTTATCGTAACGTCGAGATGTCGACTTATTGTCCTAGTCTCTTTCTACAAGTCACAAAAATACAGCTGTACTCATTACATCATATATAGGCCTAAGTAGCAGATTTGATAAATATAAAAGAGATAGTAGGAAAACGTTGATTAATTATTTGTTTTCTCAAAATAATGAAACATTTTGTGCCCACAAGTGAATTATATTTGGTATTATATTAAAAAATCTAGAATTACAATAGCAGGACCAAAGTGAGTTAGCCAAGTTAATTCCTTGAAGAAAAAGTGGTGTCGGGAGGTATCGAACAAGTAAGCATTCATTGCCATGTGTACGACACCCACCAATATTTATAGATGACTGGAGCGATAGTTTAAAAGTGATATCAGAAGACAGGGTGGGAAGGTGATTGTAGAAAAACCAAATCGGGCCACATTCTTTAAAATCACAGCATTATTTTTATCATAGTGCAGCACGTCACCCCAATAGTTGCAGGAGTTTTTTTTGAATGAGATGGATAAAACGATTCGCAGCCTGTCATTGAGTCAACTGGCGTGGTTTCGAATCCCCGGTTGTACGTGACAAGGAGTAGGGTTGCCATTTAACTTGAAACAAGGGAAACAGTTGCTCGAAGAAAAACAGATTTTAAAAAAAAAAAAAAAGAAGGTTTCAATGTGACAGTAGTGCTTCGGTCATGCATTTACCTCCGAGAGTGCCATCCTTTCTTTGAAAGTAATGATTGTGCCAAATTTGAACAAATTCCATCTAGATTCGCGGCCTGTAGGTAGAGTGTTGACAGATCTTACGATCGATGATACGACAGCACGACAAAATAAGGTCGATGATACGACAAAATCAGACGATCTTACGACAGTTTGTTCTGTCGTAAGATCGCCCGATTTTATCGTAAGATCGTGTGATTTTGTCGTGCCGTCGTATCATCGACTTATCGCCACTGTAAGTTGATGATACGACGACACTACAAAATCACACGATCTTACGACAAAATCACGCGATCTTACGACAGAACAAACTGTCGTAAGATCGCGTGATTTTGTCGTGTCATCGACCCAATTTTGTCGTGCCGTCGTATCATCGACTTATCGCCACGACAAGTCGATGATATGACGGCACGACAAAAAGCGAAACTGTCGTATCATCGACTTGTCGACTCGGAAGTTTAAAACTGCACAGTGCACATGCGCTATAGTCTTAATCTACAAGACCCTTTCTATAACTATTCACTAAAACACTTAGCACATGTGAAAATAATATAATTTCAAAATTAAAATAGTTTTAGAAAATATATTTTTATAGGTCTGGTTTTTTTTTTACGTTTTATCTGTCAACACTTTACCTACAGGCCGCGAATCTAGATGGACTTTGTTCAAATCTGGCACAATCATTACTTTCAAAGAAAGGATGACACCCACAGATGTA